CCGTGGGACCACCCCCTCGCCTCACGTGGGAAACGGAGGCTCTGAGAGATGAAGGGCCTGTCCCTGCAGCGGGCAGCGAGCTGTGGTAGAAAGAAGTAAGCTGCTGGTTGAGCCTCCGTTTCCGCACCTGTAAAGAAGAGATAACCATAGTACCTACCTCAAAGAAGTGTCATGGGGGCCGGCCCGGTGGTGCAGTGGTTAAGTTCGCACGTTCGGCTTCAGCGGCCTGGGGTTTGCCAGTTCGCATCCCGGGTGCGGCCATGGCACCACTTGGCAAGCCATGCTGTGGCAGGCGTCCCACATATAAAGTGGAGGAAGATGGGCATGGGTGCCAGCTCAGGGCCAGTCTTCCTCAGCAAAAGCAAGAGGATTGGCAGCAGATGTTAGCTCAGGGCTAATCTTCCTCAAAAAAAAAAAAAAAAAAAAAAAGGAAGTGTCGTGAAGGTTCACTGAGGCAATGAGTCCTCAGAGTCTGGCACAGTGCCTGGCACCAAGGAGGTACCAAAAAATGGTACCTAAGTAAGAGCGGTAAACAGTGGGGTGGGACTAGAACACTGTGGCTTCATAAGAACTTCAAAACTCATGTAACATAGATGGAGAGGGATGTGGTTAACAGACCCAACCAACTGAAGTCTCAGACAGCTGGGGCAGTGAATAACTCCAGTCGGCAGAAATGAACTTCAGTTATCATGGTTTTGCAAGAGGGAGGCATGGTCATTCCTCTGCAGAGATGCCTTAATTTGGGCAAATCTCAAATGAGGAGATGCTCTGAGAAGGCCTTTTCTCTGCATAGCAGAGGGTCACCTGGAAGTCCCCTGACCACACACACACACATGCACATGCACACCAAAAGACAACTCTTAAGACCCAAAAGTGGGGCTGGCCCCATGGCTGAGTGGTTAAGTTCGCACACTCCAATTTGCTGGCCTGGGGTTTCACTGGTTCAGATCCTGGGAGGGAACACGGCACCGCTCATCAGGCCACGCTGAGGCGGCGTCCCACATAACACAACCAGAGGCACTCACAACTAGAATCTACAACTATGTATTGAGGGGCTTTGGGGAGGAGAAGGAAAAACAAAAAAAGGAATATTGACAATAGATGTTAGCTCAGGTGCCAATCTTTGAGAAAAAAAAAAAAAGACTAGAGAGTGACTAGTTCATAGCTCTCGCATTACCCCAGTGTCCCCTCAGAAGGACAGGAAGAGTCTGTGGGGTACGACAGACCACAGCCTGGAAGCAGGGCCAGTGTTAGTTTCTACCTTGGTGTAGAATCCCAAAGAGACTTCTGGGTCCACCAAAGCAAAGAGTCAGAGAGAAAAGAGCAGGGGCAATGGCCCTGAGAATATTGTGAAGTTCCAGAGAACTTTCTAGACACATTCCCGCCCTGCCTGTTTCATCTCGGGTGATCAGCAGATCCTTTAATGGAAGGTTGGCGAGATCGTGCCTGGCTTTTGAGGGAGAGACATCCAGGGGCAGGGCGAGGGCCCAGGCCCTGGGAAAGAGCCTTACAGACCCTCGATAGCAATCCAGGTGGTCTACCAGCGGGAGGAGCTGATGTTTCCATGGCAACCTGATAGAAGCCGATCTGAACTTTTAAAGTCAATTCTTCAGTAAACTCTTAGGGTTAGAAAAAGGTCTGTGTGGAAGATTGTTATTATCCATAAGAAAGTATTGGGTTTTGGTTTTTGTTTTCTTAAGTGCTTACTGGGTCAGAGCTGTTTTGCTTTTGGCTAAAGCTTATAATGCATTCAGAATAGAGTAGAGAAATGTGAGTTTTCTCATACATTCTAGTTCCGGTTTCTGCTATCATACACTATGTGACCTATGCATCCTTCACCCATTTCTCCAGCCAGCCAGCTCTTCAGCCATATTTACTGAGCTTAACTTCTATCCTGGGCTGGATTTTTTACCTGTAAAATGAGAGAATTACTCTGGCTTAGCATTTTTGACCTAGGCTGCTAGAATCTTAGGAATTTCTGGGTAGTGCTTTCAGGGGGCTTCCTTCCTAGGGTAGGGTGAGGAGATTGGACGAGGCCTGAGACCACACTTGGCTTCAACCCAGAGCAGACCTATTCTTAGCTGTTTTATACGTTGGGCTTCCACTTGAGATTTCTCTTGAACAAAGGCTCCCAGAGTGAAAACTGACTGCCCAGAGGGTCTCTACGGAGAGAGCCTAGTGGCGACACTGCAGTTTTAAGCCAAGTTGTCTTGCAGTAATGCCCCTGCAGTGCCGGGTATAGAAATAAAATGGTGAACAAACCAGGGTCATCGCCCCTCAGGGACTCGCTGTCACTGTGAGGATAAACTGAGATTATAAGTGTGAAAACCTGCTTGGGTAAACGACTATTGTTAAGATAAGAATAATTATTATTATCATAGTGGAGTCAGGCAGTCAGATATACCCGCAGGGAAACGCAGCCCATAATTCAGCCTACAATTAGGGACCAGGAAGGAGCAGCAGACTCCCAGGTGCTCCACACAGGGACTCCGAGAATTGCCAGGGCTTTCCTGGGAACGCAGTTCTGCTTGCCGGCGCCTCCCCAGGGGCCGCTGCTTCCTCGGAGCCCACAGAGCCGGGGGCTGGGGGAGCAGAGCCGGCGGCGGGAAGCGCCTCGCGGTGATTGGCTGAGCCCGAGGTCGTTGCTAGGCTACCAGTCCACGGGAGACTGGGGCCGCGTAGTCCCATCCTCCACGGCAGATCCACCCCCAACAGCAGACCTAATTCGGGCACCCTGTGAACGGGGTGTCCAGCAGTTTAAACTGTCAGCTGCCAAGTGCCCATCTTTCTAGGATTTTTCGCTTAGCAAGAGGTCGTGTGGAGGAGGGGAAGAGAAGCCTTCTGCTTTTATTCTCTGGGTCACCTTGAGTAACTGCATCTCTCCCCAGACCTCCTTTGATTTCTGGGTTCATTGATGTATTCATTATGCATGCATGCATGCATTCATGTTTATTAAGTGCCTACCATGTCTCAGGCACTATATCAGGTGCTAGGGACAAAGGGATGAACAAGACAGAGGCCATCCTTGCCCTCATGAAGGGGGGAAACGTTAGGCACTTAAGCAAATAACTAAGATGAACACATATCTAATTATCTCTTCCTTCCCCTTCAATGATTTTTCTAAGTCTCCTTTTTTCCCTACTAAATCTGTCAGGTCCCTCAAGTTGACAGTGGAGGGAGTGCTGCCGCCAACCGTGCCCAGACAACATTACACCCAACTCATCCCCTTACAGTGCTCTGAAACCAGGGTACACCCTCTCATCTCCACAGGGCTTTTACTTTTGCATCCACACAGGCGCTTGAGCGCACCTCAATAAAGATGTGGGGCAGGGACCATTGTCCCCTATTCAGATGAGAAAGCTGAGAGTCAAACATCAAGAAGCCTTGTCCATGGTCACATGGGGAGTTACTGGCATAACCGATATTGAGCACTTACTATGTGCTGGCACTTTAAAAACTATCTGCCTCATGACATCCCAGTAAGGTAGATTAGCATCCCCATTTTATAGGTGGCAAAATGGAGGCTGGAAGAAGTTATTTGACCTACCAGTGATGACCCAGATGGTATATGGTGAAGCTGAGTTTTGAACCAAATCTCCTGGCTTCAAAGCCTGAGTTCTTTCCAAAAAATGGATCTTGTCACAAAAAAAGAGTAAAAGAGTCTCTGAGTGGCTGAAATTTGGAGTGGCTTCCAAATGCCCTTCAAAATCTCCCTGTCCCAGGATCTTAGTTATTCATTTTCCTACTGAAGTTCTTAGCAAAACAGACTCATAAAACCTGGTGAATTGGCCACACTTAAGATATAGTTAATTCTGTTATCTATCCTTCTGGAATGATCTTGCCTTCGAGCTATTATTGGGTAATTAAGTTAAGCATCTCTTCCCTGTGAACATCTCCCTCGCTTGCTTTTCCTCCCTGTCAGGTTTTTATTTTCCTTTGTTCATACACTGATCAAACATTGAGCACCCACCAAGTGTCAGCGCAAGGCTTTGTGGGCGTAGGTGAGTATGGCCCATCCCTGCCCTTGAGGAGTTCCCAGCCTATACCAAAGGTTTCTGAAGGGCCTTCTATGGGCAAAGCCCAGCGGTAGGCCATAGAGAGGGGAGGACCACAAAGACCTGCCTTCAGAGAACCTCCTGCTGGGCTGGGGAGACAGACAGCACTTAGAAAATACAAAGGTGTGAAAGGAAGTAGGAGGGAGCAGAAGTGGATGTGGCAAGTGTGGGCAGGGGTGGGAGCAGCCAACCTTGAGTTTCCTGGGGTGCTGCTTTTAAATCCCCTCTTGCTGTGGTCTGTGGGGGACACTGTGTCTCAGAGCCCCACAGCCAGCAGCTTGGAAGGAGGCTTTTAAACAGGAGAAGGTGCTGGAAAGTATAGAGATGCATAAAGAAGCAAGCTAAATTTATCCCTCCTCGCAGCATTCAGCAACCGCTATGCTGAACACTTGAGTTTCTACCAATGGAGACTTGTTTAAACGGATCAGTTGCTTCTCCCTCAGCTGGGAAAAGAGGGAGACAGAGAGAGAGAGAGACAGTTAGAGACTCTGAAGACAGAGACACACACACAGAGACCTGAAGAGAAGCAAGGGGAGGCAGAGAGAAAGGCATCCTTTGGGACGCAGCCCCAGTGAGCAGCAGGCAAGAACATTAAATGGGCTCCTGAGTAGGAGAAATCAGACAATCTCATGCCTGCTCCCTCCCTGCCTACATGATTCTGGCCAGAACATCGCTAATTTCCAGATAGGACCATTTTCAGATGTAAGTATATTGGAGATGTCTATATTATTTCCATTATCTTGGCCACTGCTTGGCCACTGGGTCCCTGTCACCCACCACCACCCCTGATTAGCTGAGAGTTGACTGTAAATGGATAAATACAAAAGCTATGATTAAAATGAACATTACAGGACTAAACGTGCATGTCTTTGACCCAGCATTCTCACCTCTAGGAATTTATTCTAAGGAAAATAATTAAGGAGACAGGCAAAGAATTTATCAGGAGTTTATTCATTGCAGTGTTATTTAGAAAAGGAAGGAAACAAACTAAATAGCCAACCCCTACTGGGGACCTGCTCAAGAAATATTGGTCCAACCTTACAATAGCTTTCCATGCTGCTTGTAAATTGGGTTACACACAGATACATATCGATGTAGAAAGACGTGATTTATCAGGTGAAAAATGCAAGTTACAAAATAGTGTATATAGTATGACCCCATGTAAGTACTCTTATAAGTAAGAATAAAAACGAAAGATCTGGTCTAGGACAACATAAACCAAATGTTAATTTCTGGGTGGAGGGATTTCAGGACATTTTAATTTTTTTTTTCTTTTTTTGCTTATCTGTATTTTTTTAAATGATTTTTTCCACAATGAGCATGTATTTCTTGTACAACGAGAACAGATTTCTTTCCATGGGTCCCAGCCAGCGCCCCCTGCTGGGAGTCCAGGAGTGGATGGGCCAGCTGAACCAGGTGCCCCTGACTCTGAGGCATTGTGGGAAAGGCCACCAACCCTTGCAAGGCCACTTCAAGCTGCTCATTAAGAATTCCAAAAACAGCGTGTCCCCGCCCTGGTTCGACTCTCCATCCCGACTGGTCTTGTGGGCGAGAACTCAGTGACCCAACACCTTGGTATCCAAATGCTCAGTTGCTGTATAACCTACTGGTGGGTTGGCCACCACCCTCCCTCGAGGGAAAGCACTGTTTGTACAAGTCGGCACATGGTAAAGCTAACCTTGGCCAAACTGCAGGGCCTGCCAACCTCCCAGGAGAGTCCTCCCCTGTAAGGGGGTGACAGCTAAGAGACTCTGTGGCTCAGGTCAGTCCCTACCATACACAAGCAGCTGCGATGCTGAATGTTGGCGAGAAAAGGCCGTCACCATGGCAACCCAGGCTCACTCAGCCTCTGGGATCGGTCCAACACCCAGGGAGAGAAGGTGGGGTTTGAAGTCAGAACAAACACTGGCTGGCTGTCTGACCTCAGGCAAGACATTTAGCTTTTCTCTGCCTCAGTTTCTACATCTGTAAAATGATGCTGAGTCTCCTTATCCTATCAACCTCCAGGATTAAAGAGGAATAATCTGTGAACTGTAAAACACAAGAGGAGTAGGGTGCCCCTAGCTTTGGTTTGTCCCCAAATTTCTGTATTTCTCTTTGGGCACATCCCTTAACCTCTGTGCCTCAGCTGCTCTGTTTATAAATAAGAAAGTAATGTCCCCTGTGATAACTTCCCAGGTGTATTGTCAGGCGCCTGTGAGAATCCCAGAATCTCATAGTTGGAAGAAATCTTAGCCCTTACCACCATGCAGGAATCTCTTTAATAAAGTCTCTGAGGTCCTTGTTCCCCCCTCTGCTTGATTACCTCCAGTGGCAGAGAGCTCAGGACTGCACAACTTCAAGTAGCCATTGCTATGTGACACTAATTATAAGAAGATTCTTCTGTATAGGATGTCTTACAATTAAATATGTGTTTCAAAATATTAGTAATCCTTTTCAGAGCTATTTCTGCTCCTGATTTTCCCAGAAGGCTTGCACTGGGCAGAAATGAGCAGCCATCAGCAAGAAGCAGGTACAGGCCCAGATCAGGAAGTTTGTGGTTTAGTTTGGTGGAAGGAGCATAGGGGTCACAGACTCTAGGTTAAAATCCCACTTCCTCCGCTTACTAGATGGTTGATCTGGGGCAAGTTATGCTACCTCTCTGAGCCTCAGGTTCCTGATCGGTAAAATTAGGACAGAAATACCTACGTCATAGTGTTGCTATGAGAACCCAGCATGATGGCGCTTCTCATTCAGCTTACAACCCTAACTTCCCCGGGGGGACTCTGAGGACTGGGGAGGGGGTTACACCTTGCTCTGCCACCCGGGACAACACATCCTCTCTCCGAGCCCCATCCGGCACTGTAAGCCCTTACGTGGCATGGCTGTGCTCCTCTCAGAAGGAGGGAAGAAGCCATCTCCGCCTCCTGGGGACACCCCCAGCCCAGCCTGGGGTCCATATTTCAGGGCCCTCTCCCTCTCAGGCCCGTAGCGGGGGCCATAAAGGGAAGGCAATGCAATGGTTTCAAGACAAAGTTCAGCCCTCCCTGTAAGTCACCTGCTTCAAGGCCAGCACCCCTCCCTGCCCACAGATTCAGTGGGCACCAAGCAAGTGGCCCAGGGTGTCACTTGGGGAGGGCCCTCAACTGTACCGGCACTTCAATAGGACTCTCACACAGGGCAAAAAGCCTCTAGACCCCCAATAATGTAGTCTGGCGGTGGACTTCCAGGCTCGGGGACAGGAAGTTGGGGAAAGCTATTTTGGGGTAGGAAAGTGCTCCTTTGCCCTCAATACGAAAGGAGTCGGGACACCTGCTCTAGTTCTACCACTGACTCGCTGTGGGCTCTCTGGAGCCAGTGGCTTAATCCTTCCGTGCCTTGCTTTCCTCATGTGCGAAATGACAGGTTGATTCCTGAGAGAGACCTGTCCTGCTTCAGAATTCCGGGTTTTCCCACTCGTCGGATGCAGGATGAGATGGCAAAATCGCCGTGGACCTCTGTTGGTCATGAGCCACTCACCACTGGCTCCACTCTGCTTCCTCCACAGACGAGTACCTCCGAGTCCTCAATGTAGGTGTGGCCGAGGTGAAGAAATCCTTCCTGGGGCCCCTGTCCCCATCCTGCAAGATGGTGCCGATGATGAGGCAGTTTCTGTACCAGGTCCTGCCTGAGGACTCCTACAAGGCCACCACAGGGAAGCTCCACGTGACCCTCACCCGCCTCACAGATGGGGAGAGTGTCGTGGTTTCAGAGTTCACGTCTAAAGAAGAACTCATCGAGGCAAGGAGGGAGGCGGGGCCAGGGAGTGGGGCCGAGGAAGAAGTTGGAGGGCTGGTCCTGCTTCTCTTGACAGGCTCCTGGACTGGTCCATCAGTCTGCCTCACTTCCTTCCTTCTATCTTCCGCTTCCCTGGTACTTCCCTCCCTTCACCCTCCTGGCATCTGTCTGCATGAGGCACACTGTGAGAGGAGACGGACACAGGGAAGCCCTCAATGAATCAGACTTGGTCACCATCCCCGAGACTTCAACACCCAGAGTCCCCAGGGGCTCAGCCCCTCCTTTTGCCTCTGCCCTGCCCTCAGTGCCGATCCTGCAGTTTCTCAGAGGCCCGAGTGTGACCAACAGAGGTCCCACGTCTTCTTTAGCGCCTTTAGCCTGGGTTGCAGTGTGTCCCCCCCTGAATTACTCCCAGTTGGTGGGAACAGCACCCGTTTCTGTCTCCCTCTTCTAGTGGCCCTTGTTGAAAATATGGGATTATCAGTAAATGGGTTATCACATAGGAAAGAGTACTCTGACAGTGCGCTGCACGAAACTCCTTAATGTGAATTTTAGTTATGAATTATTATTGCTGGAGAGCACTGTGGATATGCCCAATTTTCTTTCAGGACAAAGGGGTTAGGCTGCATGACCCTCCATCTGATATTCCACTCCCCTCCCATCCCCCAAATACAGGGCTCTTACCACCCCATCCGCATATCCCCACCCTGGCCTGGCTGTGATCCTGGGGTGACGATGAGTAGACAGTGGGCATGGATACCTCCTCCACCCACCTCATGTCCCTTGGGTTTGTCAGCACCCAGCTCTTCGAGACTCTTATTTCCCCATCCCTGTCCTACCACCTCCCACTCCTGCCCAGGCCAACCCTAGCAACCCAGACACAAAGCAGGCCTCTGTGCCTTTGCACAGGCTGTGCCCTCTGCCTGGGGTGCCTTCCCTTATTCCCACTCCATTTCACCTGCTTGACAAGACTCCAGTCACTCCTGCCAGGGAAGTTTCCTTCATCACCGCCTGCCCTGCACCCCCCTGGGTTGGGTGCCCCTTCTTTGGGACCACAATGCCCATGCTCACCTCCATCACAGCACCTGTCACCTCATGTACATGCCTATTCCCCCTCTTTGAGCAGAACCAAGGGTGGGTATCTCACTGTCCTCTCATTCCAGGGCCTGGGCCCAGACACATACACACAGATGGTTGTTGAATCCATTGGATTCATGGGAATTTGGTGCTAGAAGGGACCCTGCAGATCATTGAGGTCAGCTCTCCCTTTAAAGCTGGAACATCAGGCCCAGATGGACCAAGTGGTTACCAAGTAGTCACCAAGGACCCAGCTAGCTAGGGCCAGGCCAGGACTTGAACTTGGGGCTCCACTTCCCAGAGCAGTGCCTCACCTTGGGTTTAAGGACGGCCAGGCTGGTGGTGGCCCAGTGACCTGCAGGTGAACCGTCCCTACCCAGCCCCAGGGCCTCAGGCATCTCAGCTCTCTTCTCCTCCCACAGGCCCTGTACTGCAGCTGCTTTGTCCCTGTGTACTGTGGCCTCATCCCCCCAACTTACCGTGGCGTGGTGAGTGCTCTCGTGGGAGAGGGGAGCCAGCCGGGATCCAGAAGTGGCCTGGGGGTCCCTGTGACCTGCATCTGGGAGAGCAGAGGGGTGGTCTTGGCATTCTGTAGAAGAGCCACGAGTTGGAAAGTTCCTTGTGTTTTTCTACTCAGAATTTTCAAACAGATGGATTTCTGGGTCTTTAAGATGAACTTCCCCAACTGGGTTGGGCTTCTCTCTGGACCCAGTAACCCATTACTGAGCCTGGAATATCGAGACTCCACAGGCTTGCCAGATTTCCTCAGACTTGACAGAGAGCATAGACTACGGACCCTGGGATGTTGGGACCCGGAACCTTGAAAAATGGGACCCTTTGAGGTCATCTAGGCTAGTGCCTCCCAAACTTTAAGGTGCCCAGGAATCCCTCAGGGGAGTCTTGTGAAATAATGTGAATTCTGATCCAGTGGGTCTGGGGCGAGGCCTGAGAGTCTGCACCACCAACCGGCTTCAGCTGACGCTGGTGCTGCTGGTCCCCAGGCCACACTCTGAGCCGGAGGTTTCCCCCACGCCCCCTCCTCATTTTATATGTAGGGATAATGAGATCCAGAGATTAGGATTCGGCTGGTGGATGCAGCCTGTTGTGTGTCAGCTGTACTCAGGCCCCCAGAGAGCTGGAGCCTTGGTATTTGTTGTCCTTCGTTCATAGTTGAGGAAACAGAGGCCCCAGAGGGGAAGGGACCTGAGGTGGAAGCTCGGCCAGTGGTGAGGCCGTGGTCAGGGGCGCTCTGGAGAGTGTCCGGGGTGCCTGACCTCAACAGAGGGGGGCACTGTGGACCGTGGCCATCTGGGGAGGGGATATTTCACAACCTGCTCAGACCCACTCCACTCCCCAGCCCGCCTGCAACAGTAGAGTGGCTCTAGAGGGGTAGTGTGGGAGGGGCAGCTGTGATGGGGAGAATGCCCTCCTGCTTTATCCAGACTGTGAGTGCCCCCTCCCCACAGAGGCCTGGGAGCCCCAGTCTTGGCCCTACTAAGAAGGCTGAGCGGAGACAGTGCAGGGACAGAGCACTGGGCTGGGAGTCCAAAGGCCACTGTGAACTCTCCAAGTGACCTTGGACACACCACTTACCCACCCAGACCTCGGTCTCAAGGTTTGTCCCGAGGGACCCATTTCCTTGGTGGACTCCCTGAGTGGCGGAGAAGACCTCTGACCCCTGAAGAGCGTTTCTCCCTCTGCCTCCCCTGACAGCGGTACATCGACGGGGGCTTCACGGGCATGCAGCCCTGCTCCTTCTGGACCGACTCCATCACCATCTCTACCTTCAGCGGCCAGCAGGACATCTGCCCCCGGGACTGCCCCGCCATCTTCCAAGACTTCCGCATATTCAATTGCTCCTTCCAGTTCTCCCTGGAAAACATCGCCAGGATGACGTACGCCCTGTTCCCTCCGGACCTGGTGGTGAGAGACAGGACGTCCTGGAGGGGGAGGAGGAATGGGGGAGGGCCACAGGGCCTGGGGGTGGGACGGAGGAGCCAGTGGGGCCCTCTCAGCTCCATCTACGTCTCCTCCCTCAAATGGTCCCTTAAACTTCCTCCTAGACCTGTGTCCTGGCCTTGACGCTAACCACTGTGTGACCTTGAACAAGTCCCCAGAGTGCTCCCAGCCTCGGTTTTCTCCCCTGTAAAACGAGGTGATGCCAGAACCACTAATAGGAATGTTAGCGGAACTCTCCCACTGTGACATGCAGGGTGGGGGTCAGCGAGCTGTGGTTCACAGGCCCAATCCAGCCTGGGCTAGTGTCGTACAGCCTGTGAGCTAAGAATGGGCTTTCCCTTCTTAAAGGGTTGTAAAAAAAAAAGAAAAAAGAAAAGATGTCACAGAGATTGTGTGTGGCCTGCAAAGCGCAAATATTTATTATGTGGTCCTTTACAGAAAGGCTTTGTGGCCGAGAGCTCATGTAATCCTCCAGCATCCTCTGTGATAGATAGTTATTACTCCCTTTTTACAGATGAAGACACTGAGGCTGTGAGCGGTTACAGCCACATAGCCACACAGCCAATAAGTGGCAGCACTGGGATTTGAACCCAGTCTCCAAACTCTGCTCATCATATGGCCCAAATGCGCCTTCTCTGGTTCTGCTGCAAAGATCCCAGCCTCTCCTGTCCAGGGGACGCTGATGATCAGCTGTGAGAGGTTTGACATGTTAACGCAGCATCGCTACAGACACGTGGTCAGGAGTTACGCCCAGCTTCTTAGCAGATAGTGAGCGATGGGCACTGGATGGATACATTTTGAAAAGCTCATCAAATAAAGCTCAAGAGCAATGAAAGCAGCTGCTCTGGGTGAGGGGACTGCGGCTCTCTCTGTTGCTGCAGCCTGAGTTCTGTCCCTGGTGTCCCCACCTTGCAGGTCCTGCATGATTACTACTACCGAGGGTACGAAGATGTCGTTTTATACCTGAGGCGGCTGAGTAAGTACCACGAGGGGCCCCAAGGAAGGGGAGGCTTGGAGGTCGAGGCAAAGGCAGGAAGCAGGAGGGCTGAGCAAGGGAGCATTCCCCCCAAATTTGTGGACTGGAAATGCGCTTCACCCAGGAGAACTGGAAATGGGTGCGGGGACCTGGCAGCCTGCATTGTCCAGGACCAGCCACTGTGGCCAGAGGTTAGGATCTCCGTGGAAAGGCGTTGAGGTTAACTGATGGGACAGTGTCTAGGGCTTTTGTACAAATATATTTCTGGATTTAAAAACTGTATTTAGGAAATACGTAGCTCATATCTCCCTGGAGAATTGCGTTTTCATCTCGTTTCATTCTCTTCCATTTTTATTCTTTTTCCAATAAAACTGTATTGTTAATGTAGAACTGGATGTGATTAGTTCATATTTGTGTAAGACTTTGAGTGACATATTGATCAACAAACGAGAGGGAAGAGCCCTTGCCTTATGTTGGTCTAGAAAGCATGGTCCCCACACCGGTCTGTCCTCTGGGCATTATCCGGTGGGAGGAAGATTCCAATGACACGTATGACATGCTCTAACTCCTTGAAGACCATGGCAAACATCTTTGTTAAAAAGAAAGGAAAAAAGCTTTACCATATTTAGAATTAATTCCATGGAATATATTTCCAGGAAAAGGGATTCCTGGGTCAAAGTGTGTTTCCCCAATGTTATATCGTAAATTTTTTTCCATGTTGCCATTTGGTCTTTGTAACTATCTTTTTGGCAGTTGTATAATATTCCATCACAGTTGCACAGAAAACTTTGATCATTCCTTTGAGTTTCCAAATGTTCACGATTATGAACAATGCTGGGGTGAAATTTTTGTGTACATGGTTTAAAAAATATTTTAGCAGTGAAATGAAAAGGTTGAATTGAGGGTTTTTTCCTAGTATACGTTTACTTTTTTTTCTTTAAAATTGCGTCCTGGGGCTGGCCCAGTGGTGTAATGGTTGAGTTCAGTGTGCTTTGCTTCAGCTGCCCAGGTTCATGGGTTTGGATCCCAGGCATGGACCTACACCACTCATCAGCCAGGTGTTAGCACAGGGCTAATCTTCCTCAGCAAAAAAAACAAAACAAAACAACAACAACAAAAATCTTCCTGTTTTCCCAAGCTCCCCTCGTCCTAATCTTTACTTTCTCTTGGGTTCATTCAACAAGCAGGGTGGGGAGCAAGAGAGCAGGATGGAGAGAAGGTGGGTTCTGGGGGCAAGTAGCCCTGGGCTAGGATCCCCATCCCCCTGGCTGTGTGAGCTCAGGAAACCCCCCCTCTCTGAGTCTTGGATCCTAATCTGTGAAAAGGGTTTAGATCCTGGTTCCTGACACCTACCAGCTGTGTGATCTTGAGCAGGTAATTAATCTCCTGGGGCCTCAGTTTCCTCTGTACAAGGGGGCTGATCGTGGAACCTCCCTCAGAGTTTTATTCCTAGCCATGGTCAACGCAGCCCACTGCCCACTCTGACCTCGGAGACAGGCCCCCCTCTCCCCTCTCTGCAGGACAGACTCCTCCTAACCCTGACTCTCCTCTGACAACTCTCCCATCCTCCACACTAACACAGGTGACAGCTATGAAAACTGAGCCCCACGAATCCAAAGGGAGGACCACCTGAGGGGTAGGGTGTAGGTGGAGAAGGGGGCCTCACCTGCAGAGCCTCGGGAATAGGAGGGGCTGGCTAGGGCCTGGGCTCCTTTCCACCACGAGCTGGGGAGCCCCTCCACTCTGTCCTCAGTGACGGTGTACAATGGGGACTTGGGTTGGGGGAGGTCCCCTGATTTGGGACTGGGATCTTGGAACAGACACCAATTCCCTGCCCCAGGAGACCCCTCCACAGCTCAGGTGACAGCCTGGCTGCCTGGCCACCTCCACACCTGTCCGTCCCCTAGAACATTTCCTTTCTCTTCCCCTTGGGGGCAGCCCTGGGCAGAGTGACGAGGTGAGTTGCTAAGCATCTCTAGTCTGCCCCATTTCTCAGTAGTCCCCCTTCCACCTTCCCTCCCTCCCCAGCCCTTCCACCCTCAGCTGGTGGGGACATTTTCACAGGTATGAATGGCTATCTGAAACCAGGAATGAAACTCTCATAGTAGCAATTGGGGCATCCACTAAAGAATTGGGGCAGTATACCAAGGATGGTGGGTCTTCCCAGTGGCCCTGGAACCCCTCCAAGTAGGAATACACACAACTTCTAAGGAAGAAAATGTCTCATGCTGGCGACCGGCTATTTTTGCTTCCTCTTTCAAATTGCCAGTGTGTGTGTGGCTTCCTCAGGGCAGGTTTCAGCTCCACCATCGAAAGCCTATCGGGTTTGGTGGGGCTGGATTTTCCTACCGGCACCAGATGTGAGCAGGAAGTACTGACACATCCTGAGAAATCGCACTCGATGCCCAGAGTCACACTCCGGTCCCCGCCTGCCATCTGGGAATAGAAAACAGGAGTCGGCTCCAGCCTCCTGCCCCCAGTGCTCTCTGGATGTGGGTCAGCTCAGCAGGAAGCCACACCCGCCAGGTGTCACCCTCAACATCCTGGCCTCCTCTTTCTCCTCCCCCGCCTCACATCCATCTAATTATTTCTGCTGCCAGGCGAGCTTCCCTCTCCACCTTGGCCTCTCCTGGCAGCAGCCTTCTGCCAAAGGGAAGGACATGATTGCTGGTGTGCTCGAACATCCACATTCCCCACATAGACGCGTGGACGCGTGGATGTGGGCGCTGAGGGAGGTTGGGGCTCAGAGGATGCCATGTGTAAAATATCCATCCAGCATCCAGGCATGCCCGGCCAGAGCTCCCTCCCTCCTTCCCTGCCTTCCTGCCTTCCTGCCCTTCTTCCTTCTCTCCCTCCCGCCTCCCTCTCACAATTTAATGTTTTCTGGCACACACACACCACACACACATTCCTGTGAAACCAGCACCACAATCAAGGTGGTTCCTCCCACCTTCCCTCACCTCCCCCCCCCCCCCCCCCCCCCCCCCCCCCCCCCCCCCCCCCCCCGCCAATCCCCACACAGGTCCTGACCTACTTTCTGTCATTATAGATAAATTACATTTTCTAGAGTTTTTGATAAACAGAATCTTATAGTATGAATTCTTTTTTTGGTCTGCATTCTTTCACTCAACATAATTATTCTGAGATTCATCCATGTTCTTGCATGGGATAAATAGTTCGTTCCTTTTTACATTCCATTATATGAATATACCACTGTTCATTTATCCACTCACCTATTAATGGAGATTTGGGTTGTATCCACTTTGAGCCTGTTATGAATACAGGTGCCATGAATGCATCTCATGCGTGGTCTTTGTGTGGACACATGCCTTCACTACTCTCAGGTGTATACCTAGGAGTGGAATGATTAGATCATATGGTAGATGTATGTTATACATATAAGTAAAAAATATGTAATTATATATTTATACATTTATCATATAAATATATATTTATATATATAAAATTGTGGTAAAAACACATATAAAATTTACCATCTTAGCCATTTTTAAGCATACAGTTCAGAAGTGTTAAGTATATTCACGTTGTTGCACAGCCAATCTCCATAACTTTTTCATTGCAAAACTGGAACTCTGCATCCATTGGCCGACAGCTCCCCATTTCCCCCTCTCCTGGTCCCTGACAACCACCATTCTACTTTCTATTTCTATGAGTTTGAATACTTTAGACACCTCAAATAAGTAGAATCCTACAGTATTTGTCTTTTTGTGACTGGTTTATTTCACTAATGATGTCCTCAAGTTTCATCCATGTTGTAGCATATGACAGGATTTCCTTCCTTTTTAAGGCTGAATAATATTCTGTTACGTGTGTATACCACATTTTCTTTATCCGTTCGTTCATCAATGGATATTTGGGTTGCTTCCACCTCTTGACTATTGTGAACACGGATGCAATGAATATGGCCATGCAAATATCTCTTCGAGATTCTATTTTCAATTCTTTTGGATATATATGGACTAAGACATATATCCAGAATGTATGTTCAACTTTTTAAGAAACTGCCAAATGGTTTTTCACAGTGGTTGTACCATGTTACATTCTCACCAGCAGTATATCAGAGTTCCAGTTTCCCCAAATTCTCACCAATACTTGGCATGGTCGGTCTTTTTCATTTTAGCCATTTTAATAGGTGTGTGGTGGTATCTCATTGTGATTTTAATTCGCATTTCCGTGATGACTAACGACGTTGAGCATCTTTTCATTTGCTTATTATTTGTCCAAATATCTTCTCTGGTGAAATATCTGTTCGACTCTTTTGCCCATTTCTCCCTAGACCTTTAATAAACTTTATTTTTTAGAACAGTTTTAGATTTACAGAAAAAAGATGAAAATAGTACAGAGAGTTTCCATATACTCCACATCCAAATTTCCCTATGATGATGTCTCACATTGGTTAGATGTTATAGTGTGGTACACATACAATTTGGTACACAGTATGGCATATTGTTTACAATTAATGAACCAATATGGATAAATTATTATTAACTGAAGTCCATACTTTATTCATATTTCCTTAGTTTTTACCTAATGTCTTTTTCTGACCCGGAATCCCATCCAGGACACCACCCCAGGTTTAGTGGTGAGTCTCCCTAGGCTCCTCTGTCTGTGATGGTTTCTCAGACTCTCCTCATTTTTAATGACCTTGGCAGATTTGAGTACTGGCCAGATATTTTGTAGGATGTCCCTCGATTGGGGTTGGTCTGATGTTTTCCTCACGATCATACTAGGGTTATTGGTTCAAGGGAGGAAGAGCACAGAGGCAAAGCGCCATTCTCATCATATCGTATCACGGGTACCTGCTATTACATGACGTTTACTGATGCTGTTGACCTTGACCACCTGGCTGTGGGGGTGTTTGTCAGGTTCTCCACCGTAAAGTTACTCTTTCTCTCCCTTCTCGTACTATGCTTTTTGGCAGGAAGTCACTATCCACAGCCCACACTTAAGGAGTGGGGAGTTATGCTTCACTTCCTTAAGGGCTGAGTATCTACATAAGTTAGTTGGAATTCTTCTGCCCCGGAGATTTGTCTCTTCTCCTCCATTTACTCGCTTATTCAATCATTTGTTTATTCAGTGTGGACTCATGGATACTTATTTTACTCTTTAGGTTATTATTCAGTCCTACTTTATTTATTTTGTTACTCAAATTGTTCCAGTTTTGGCCACTGGGAGCTCTCTTGGTTGGATCTTTTGCCCATTTTAAAAATGGAATTCTTTATTTTCTTATTTAAGAGCTTTTATATATTCTAAATAAGTGCGCTTTATCAGAAATATGATTTGCAAATGTTTTCTCCTAGTCTGTGATTTCTCTTTTCAACTCCTTAATAATGTCTTCTGAAAAAGAGTCTTCAATTTTGATGGGATCCATATTATTCATTTTTTTCCTTTATGGAGCATGCTTTTGGTGTCTTATCTAGGAAATCTTTGCCTTACTCAAGACCACAAAGAGTTTTTCTCCTATGTTTTCTTCTAAAAGTTTTATAGTTTTTTGGTTTCTCACTTATGTCTATGATCCATTTTGAATTAATTTTTAGATAAGGTGCAAAGTGTGCTCTCTTCAGCAGCACTGTACTAGACGGGGGACGAAGCATAAATCAAAGTACTTTCTTGTTCACATGGACATCCAGTTGTTCCAGCACCATTTGCTGAAAAGACTGTGCTTTCTCTATTGAAATGGCTCTGTACCTTTGACTAAAATCAATTGTCTCTGTGTGTCCTGGGTCTGTTTCTGGACATTCTATTTTGTGCCATTGATAGACTTGTTTGTCTTTACATCAATGCCATCCCGTCCTGATCTCTGTAGCTTTATAAGAAATCTTGAAACCGGGTAGTCTTAGACTCCAACTTTCTTCATTTTCAAAGCTGTTTTGGCCATTCTGGGCCCTTTGTCTTTCCATGCGAATTTTGGAATCAGCTTGTGAATTTCTACACAGGAAGCAATCATGCTCTATTTCTCTTGTCAACCTATTCTCTCATCGCCTGCAATTACCACCTCAAATCTGCCACCCTCCCTGATCCCCAGCAGAGGACCTTGCCTCCTACTTCACTGAGAAGACCAAAGCCATCACAGAGGTGTTCTCTCAACTTTGTGCTCCCAAATATGCAGACTCCCTTCTCCCTGTTCCCCCTCCTTCCCAGCACATTGAAGGAAGCTCCCCTTTTCAGGCCCAAAGCCACCCCTCCACCCATGCTCAGACCCCTTCTCCATCTCTGGACTCTCCAATTATCTATGATTCCTTCTCTCTCTTATATATCCAACCTCCACTTCTCAACTGGATCCTCACTAGCAACTTTTAAATCTACCCCAGTCTTGCCTATTTAAGAAAATCTTCCCTGGGTTCTCCTCTCCCTGTCTCCTGACTCAATCCTCGTCTCTCTTCTCACTCTGCTTTTCCTTCCTAGGGAATCTCCGCCACAGCCACCATCACGGCTTCAGTCCCACCCATAGGTGGGGCTCCCAAATATACATCTCTAACCCTCATCTCTTCTCTGAGATCCAAACCCACACATCCAACTGCTCACCTTCATCTCTCCTTGGACATCTCGAAGGCCGCTAAACTCAACATGTCCCAGAACAAACTTGTAACCTGCGCTCTCCCCACCCCTCTCCAGACCCATCCCCTCCATGGTCACATTCTCAGCAAATGGCACACGCATCTGTCTGATTGTGTGAGCCACATACCTTCCCTCATGCCCCAATCCATCCATCACCAATTCTCATTTATTTTACCTCCTAAACAGAATCTTCTACTTCTTTCGATCTCCTTCCAGGTGCAAGCCCCAAACATCTCCCACAGCACCCTGAGGGGTTTCCCTGGGTCACCTGTGCCCTTTTCACTGAGTCCTCACATGGCAGCCACAGTTATCTTGCCCAAACCAGAGGCAGGTCAGCACCTTCCTGCCTGGAATGCTTCATGGTTGCCATGAAAACCAAGTGTCCTCAGTGCGAGGGCCTCTAAGCCCTTGTGGGGTCTGGCCCCTGCCGCCTCCTCAGCCTCGTTCGTCTCCCGCCACAGTGCCCCCTCCCCTGCTCCACCCACACTGAACTTTCAGGCCCTCAGTCTCCTCGTGCTCCCTCAAACCTGTGGCCTTTGTGCGCTGTTCTGTCTGTCTGAGATGCTCCTCCTCTTCCCACCACGACCACCCCCTGGACCACTCGCCCTTCAGATCTCAGCCCAAATGTCCCTCCGTCAGGGAAGCCTCCCGATTAACTCCTCTCTGCTCCCCTCTGTCTTAGCACCCTGTTCCCCTCTTGTCTAGCACTTGTCTTGGCTAAAACTTGAGGTTATTTGGGTGGTCAATGCCTGCCCCCACTCTAGACTATAAGCACCAGGAGGCCAGGAACCATCTCACCTGTTTTTGTCTCCTTTCCCTGCTCAGTGCCTGCTGTAATGCCAGGCACATACAGAAGTTCAATAAATATTCACTGAATAAATGAATTAATACACAGTCAAATACTCAATATAAATTCAAGTAAGTAAGGAAAGGCCATTGAAAAGCACTAATCCTGTTCAGGAAAATCATTGGGGAAACCATCTTTTGCAAACGCCGTGCTGATGCCGGGGGTTAGTCATGCCCCCGTGACTCTGTGCCGTTGTTTTTCCTAGATGCTGCTCACCTTAATTCTCCCTCCAAGAGAGTGATTTTCCCCCGGGTTGAAGTCTACTGCCAGATAGAGCTCGCCCTGGGCAATGAGTGCCCTGAACACAGTCAACCAAGCCTTCAAACAGAGCAGGCCAGTCTGGAAGAATCTGTACAACTTCACACACCAGGGGCTCCCAAAGAGGAGAGAAGGGGTCACCACGGTCCACCTGTGTCCCCATCTGTGCAGACACCTGAGTCTACATGGGAGTGGGCTGTGGAGTCACCTGATTCTCCACCTGTCTCTTCATTTGAGCAGTCACCTGTATCGCCACTTCCCTCTTCACCATCACGTCCTCCAACTGACGTGCCACCTATATCCCTCCCAGCTGTGCACTCGCCACCCAGCTCAACACCTGGGCCGTCACCCGTATCACCACAGCAGCAGATACAACCGTCGGGATCACCACCCAGATCCCCACCCTCCCAGTCATCTGTGTCACCCAGGCCATCCCTGGGGCCTTCAGGTGTGGGGGCGCCTCAAACATTGCCCCCATGTTCTCCTTCGGCATCACCTGCACAGCTACCTGTGGAGGAACTGGGCCCAGAACAGCCCCAAGGTATGGACCCTTCTGGCTTCTCATGGCTTTCTCACGTCTGGAGCGCATCAGCAAGTGTGTAACAACGTGGTGGCCGATAACCGTTGCTTTAGAGGGGCGCGCTGGAGAAGTTAGCAGTTAGCTTTAGCGGCTCTCCCTGTTATGAGGACAGACCACCACTAGAGGGCTGTGGACTTGGCATTTGTTCATTTCTTTCATCCTGTGATTCTCGAAGTGTGGCCCTCGACCAGCAGCAATAGCATCACCTGAGAACTCGTTAGAAACGAGAATTCCCAGGCCCGACCACAGACCTGCTAAATCACAAACTCTGGGGTGGGACTCAGCTGTCTGTCTTTTTGACAAGCCCTCCAGGCGATTCTTTTGCCCGTTAACGTTTGAGAACTGCTGTACTAGTAGATTTTTATGGTGAAAGTCACCGTGCCCGGGCAGTGCTACTCAGAGAGTGGTCTGTGGACCAATGCTCATCCCTGAACTATTTGTTAATAGTTCACAGTGAAATGAGCATAGAAATTGAGAGTAAGCATTTAGAAATGTTTATAGCAAAAAGATGTCACCATGACATCCAAGAGCTTGGTCGTTTTCCTACTAATTTCACAAAAGTACTAGTCCATTACGGATTGTAATAAGATTCTTAAAAACTGGTTCTTCACTGCAGGTAGTTTGAGAAGCAGTGCTGTAGGGGTTGCAAAGATGAACAGTTCTCAATTCCTCACTCTCAGGAAATCTCCCCTCCAGCAGAGAGAATGACATGGATACCAACCTCAAAAATACACGCTGAATTATTAAGTGTTAAGTAATTAACGAAAACAGTGTTGGGGGTATTTATGGAGAATAAGATCTCTTCTCTGTGGGGGAATAAAGAAGGCATCTTGGAGGTGACAGGCGAGTTGAAATGGTCAGGATTTTGACAATCGTGGTTTGTGGGATGGGATTGGATGGAGTAGAAAGAACATTTTGGGTTTCGTTTATTCTAGAAGCTCAGGTGCAGAGAAGGAAAGCTCAGGTTACATTCAGGATAAAGAGGATACCTGTTGGGCCACCATGGATGGTCGGGGTAGGGGCAAGGGGACAGGAGCCCAAATGATGGACTGAAGCCAGGTTGTAGGGTCCTCCTGGTCCATCAGCCAAACTTCCATAGTTATTATGGTAAACAGCGGCACAGATTAGCAAGCTGTCCTTTGAGAATCTGCCCCAAGTCAGGGGTGGTTTTTTCTCTGGAATAGGTTTCCTTTGATTCTTTTAATCACAATGAGACAAAAATATCAGGACATTAAGAATTAGAAAACTGATCAAAGTGTTTTACGTGCTCTCTTATTTCCTGTTAGATGGAATGTGTTTATTTTTTGTTATCACACTCATGCCTGAAGGTATGTGTCTTCATGTGTCTGAGCAGTCCTGGGCCCTGACTCGGCATTCTTCACTCAGACTGGGGGCGGACAGAGGTACAAATAGCCCAGTGGTTCTCAACTGGGGGCAATTTTACCCCCAGGAGACATTTGGCAATATGTGGAGACACATTTGGTTGTCACCTAGTGGGTGACATCTAGTGGGTACAGGCCAGGGATGCTGCTAACTGTCCTCCAGTGCATGACCCCCACGACAAAGAATTATCTGGCCCTTGATGACAGGAGCACCGAGGCTGAGACACTCTGTTACAGCCTCCAGCTGAGCCTCAGTTGCGACATCCTTGGCCATCACAGGGATGGGCAGAGCGAGCCTCCTCAGGCGGTGGTGTTATCAATCACTGATGGCCACGGAGTTGTGGGGGGTGGGGCGGTAGCACAAAGTCCTTGGAAAATCCCTAAACGAAGGAACTGCAAATAGATTTGGGAGCGCCAAGGCCCCAAATGAAAGACCTTCAGGTAGAGGAATTTAACTGGATTCTATACTATTTTTATTTACATGTATTACATAGTCACATGTTCATCTTCATATATTATATATCCTCAAACTCATCAGAAATCTGCAAAGAGCTTACTTAAGAATAATGGTCATAAAACTGTTAATATTTTCTGTTCTAATGAAAAAGAAGAAAGCATGACATAAAGCTGTGAGGGGAGGTTCAGGCCTCTCTGGGGGATTTTCCTGAAAACTTGCCCTCACACGGCTACTTTTTCTGAAGGAATTGTTGATAATCTTACCTCAGGCGTCAGCATCAGTGCTTCCACAGCTGTCACTGCCCTGGGTCTCAGTCAAATCCGACGACACGATTCTGGTCCTAAATATGAGAGTTTGGGAGTGAGAGAGTTCTTTACTGCTCCTAAACACCCTCATTTACTTCCTATTGTTATTTCCAAAATGGCGAAGTACCCCCCTCCCCCATCTCACTCATGTCTCCTGTATCTTTACTTTGGACTGTAGCTCTCCCTGCTTCTTCAAATCCAGACAGCACCGTGCCTCTGGTCAGTGCGAAGGAAACCACCAGCGAGCCTTATGCAGTGTAAGTTTCTCCTGAACTGGGAACGTGGGCGGGGGAGGGCGGCCCAGCGAAGCGGTACTTTCCATCTCTGCAGCTGCCTGAGGAAACTGAGATCCTTTTCTGGTTTGCGTGATCACAGTCCACCCCTTTACAGTTCACAAACCAACCCCCCTACCCCTTCCGCTCAACAATCTGGGGAAAATGAGACTGTCAGCTCCCTGCTGTGCACCCAAGGGAAGGCATCTTCTCTGAGTGCAGTGGGAGAATGTGCCCCCTCATGTCTTACTCTCTGATGATGTCCCAGTTCCAGAGAGCCAGCAGGCATGGGACAACCTAGCCTCAGGTAGCCCCTGCACAGTATGAATTGAGGGACCCCACCAAAGACCTCCCTTAATCCAAATTATTTTGTCAGCGTGATAAGGGGACTAATATTCCTGTGTTGTAAAGTGTCCCCAGAAAATCTTTTTTTGTAATGCACATCGCTTGTCTGGGCTGTGTAACATGTATTCCCTTATTATCTTTGCAGTCATTGTCAGAGGGCCTGGGGATCTGTACATTTTTAAGTTCCATGGGGACCACAGTACCCAGGCTCCCTTGCTGGCTCGATGCCAGTGGAAGGCCCCAGCAGGAGATCAGAGGCTGGGTCAGGGTATCTCCCGCCACCGAGCTCATCCCTCCTTCCTTGGATCAGCCCAGGCGATGATCCGGCTTCTCTCCAGCCACAGTTTCAGCTAATGGAGAGCAGGGCCTGAGGCACTCTTGCTTTTGACATTCCCACTCCATATCATATCAAATATATTTAAAATATACCTGCTTCTCACATTAAGTATAATCTTAATTATAAAACTTTTTTAAAGAGTTTGCATAAATTTAATCATTTTGTGCTTGGGTATTACACATTTTGTTCACGTGATTTAAGCTTTATTGTATTGACATACACTGTATAAAAGTTTAATTGAGTTTCAGTTGGCTAGTTGGCATGGCGTTACTTAGGTAAATATTCATTGATTACAAAATAAAAGTTCGCTGGGGAACTCCGATGCTCGGCCAGGGCTGAGAACCGCAGCCTCGGTGCGTCCGAATACCTGCTGAGGGACCAGGGCCCTGACAGTGGAGGACACGGGACAGGCCTTTAACAAACCACTCAGTTCATCTCTTTGCCCAGGGAGAGTCCTGCTGAAGACTTCAATTGGGTGAGCAAGATATTCAAGAAGAACAAACAAAAGACGAGTGGCACCAGAAAGGGCTTCCCAAGACATCCCCGATCCGAGAAAGCAGGCAGCAAAGCGCAGTGAGCACGACTAACGTTTCTTAAATTGCACGGGGAGGAGCAGCTCCAGGAGCAGTCCGCAGGAGGATTACAAGGGGTAGAAGGGGCATCAGTGAGGAGGGCACTAGGAGCTGGGCCTTGGGGTCGGACACACGCAAGGTCAAATCCCCGCCCTGCCTCCGTCTCACTCAGTGACCATGCGTAGGACACGTGCTCTCTCTGAGCCTCTATTTCCTGACCTGTAAGATAGGGACAATAGCAACTCATCGGGTTGTTGTGAGGGTTTAGTGAGGTCATATGGAAATGGCGTCACAGAGTGCAAGGTGTGTACTAGCACTCAATAATTTGTAGACATTATGGTTATATCACTCACAGGGCTCACCTCAATACCTCTCAGCCTCCGAATAGAACTGTACTTAAAACCCAAACTAGAAAGGTGGATGCCCACATAACCCTCAACACGGAGAGCTCAAACTGTTGCCAACCTACAGCGAAAAGCCCTAACAATGTAGGCCTGCTTCTTGGAGCTTTTGGACTCTATTATATTGTCGTTGACTTAATGAGCCCAGCTTCATCGAGCACCTGCTAAGTGCCAAGCCCTCTTCTTGGTTCTGGGGATTTCAAGGATAAATTAAACTCCATCGCCAACTTTCAATCCCAATTTCATCCCAAGTTTCAAACCCAAATTGAACTTCAGACCAAAGATAGGAGTAAAACCTACGAATTTGCTGAACTGTGAGCCCCAGATAAACCAAGTCTTAATTTTTTTACTAAACCACAACATAGTTTTTAAAGGTATCTGTATATATATATATGTGTGTATATATATGTATATATATGTATGTATACGTGTATATGTATGTGTACACATATGTGTGTATATACACATATACACATGTGTATATGTGTATGTATACACCCACCTGCAAATTAAAAATGCCAGCCTCAGACACAAACCAAGCCAGGTGTTATCTATCATTATTTCACTGGACTATCAAACTATTCTCTAAATGGAACAGTCTCACACTGCTATTTAAGTTCCTTTAAGCCTTTCTTGGTCAGAAAAATCCCTAAATCATTCTAAGCAACATCCTTCCGGGTTACCTCTGTTCCAGGTGGGGGCCCCTGGGTAGCACAGGGATGTGTCAGGTAGACCAGGGTCACCCTGGCAGCCACAGGGCCACTTCAAAGGCTGGACAAGTAGGTCTTTGGTGGGTGGTATGAAGCAACATGGGGGAGAGGAGATTCCCAGAGCTGCTACAGGAAATGGGACAGACCCACATGTGATTTGCTGGATTAAAGGATGGGCAGGGAGGGTGCAGGACCCAGGAGGCAGTTGGCGGTCCCTGGGGGTCAGGGGATCAGTGCAGCCTGGGACTAGTCTCACTCTGTTCCTTGCCTCCAACCCCAAGACTTCCCTGACCTCTGAGTGTTCGTCTCTCTGCCCTAGGAGCTCAGGGTCGAGTCTGATGATGAGAATGTAGGCCGGTCTGCCACGGGCGTGAGGAAGCCTCCGTGGGGCTGGGCGTGCCATCCCGGAGCTGGGCGCAGACTCGGGTCCCTTCGTTCCAGGGCCAGGCCTCTCCCCATACATTGAGCAGCGGGAACTACGCATTTCAGCTGGGGCTACTTGGTCGATAAACTTTTAGGAATCAAGGTGCTTTATAAAGAAGCAGGATGTGACAAAAACAAAACAACCTTCGGAAGCCATGGGAAACGCTGTTGTCAGTGGGTCACACAGCCTGCTCTGGCAGGTGGTGTCTGCGGCCCTCCTTTATAGAACGGGTTAGGAAACTGCCTGGGGGCAATTTACCAACTAATGACCTTAAGCAATCCCATGCAGACTGACTGCTTTGAGCTTCAAAGACTAGGGAGGGGGTAGAAAAGAGAAGCTCAAAAACGATAGGCTTAGAGGAGGAGGGGTGATCCAGGAAGACGGGAAATAGGCTCCTTTCCTCCCAAACTACAGTCACGAGAGACACCGTCACATCCATGGGCTCGCCCTCTGCAAACTCCTGGTCCCCAGCTGACATCCCTCCCAACAAAGAGGGGAAACAACCCCCTCCCCACCCCAAGATCTCAGTGGCTTACGAAACGAAACGAGCTTTTGCTTTTCTCTCCCACAGGTCTGTGTCTGGCTGGGTTGGCTCTGCATAGGCTACAGGGTGGGGCCAAATCTGCTCCCTATCCCTTTCATTCCAGGGCCAGCAGTAATGCCAGCTATCCCCTTCTCCGGGAGCGTGGCCAGATGGATGGAGCAGCCCAGCTTTCCTCTGCTGGCCTTGCCTCTCCTCCAGTGGTCAGTGGTCGTCTGACTCAAGTTGTATAACTGGCCTCAAAGTGGAAAGACAGTTTGAGAAAAGGAGAGACTGTCTACAGGCTACAGATGGAAAAGGGGGACATCCAGCTTGCTAATTGCTGGCCAGATCCTCCTAATTGTTACCGAGTCTGTCAGGCTCCCCAAATTTCCCCCATTACAGAGCCCTTCCTTTGACTTACTGTGGAATCTCCCCTATTCTGATGTGAATGTAGTAATAATAGCTATAACTTATACAGTAGTTATTATGTTCCAGGCACCATGGCACAGAGAGGTTAAGTAACATGTCCAAAGTCACACAGTTGGTAGTTGGCAGAGCCAGGATCTGAATGCAGGGTGTCTGTCACCAGCATATTGGTGTTGACGCCTAAGTGATACAGCCTCCCAGGATCCACGGAGCGCTGGAGGGAGAGTCGAGAGTCACGGGGTCTAGTCCTAGTTTCTCCATGTGGGCAGGGAGAGGCCTGGAGGTGCACTCAGAGGGGCACGTGGAGATGTGGCAGGGGCACTCCGGCTGGCTTGGGTGCCATGCTAATGAGGGTGGACATTGCCGCGGTGCTGGGGAGTCACTCAGGGGTTAAACAACAGAGTGACACCATCAGATTGGAAAATTATCCAAGAATGTGCAAGTCCACATTCCAGCATTTCTCCGAGGTGGCCTCTGCAGGTGTCTTCCCACAGTTTCTCAGAGAGGGCAAGTGACTTGCCCAAGGTCACACAGCAGGTGGAGGAGGGCTGGGAACTCAGGTCTTCCCACTCCTTTTTGCCTCCTTTCTCCTCACACGTGCTTCCCCAGCTTCTCACACCCAGGTCTGCTCCCTGCCCCCTCGACGTCTCTCTGCTCTCCACTTCTGAGACAGTGTCACCCACCCGCCTCCTCCCAGCCGGATCCAGGACTACAGCTGCCCTGAGGGTGGAACTCCCCAGGGTCTCCCTGCAGGCCAGGCACTGCCTGCCCTGCCCTGCCCTGGGATGCTGTGGTGACTCCTGAGCCCCGTAAACCCAGCTTCCTATCCACCCCCACCTGCTGTTCGCTGGGCACAGTCAGGGCCAGCACTCCATCTAATGCCTTGTCCCCTGAGAAAACAGCACGCCTTCCTTGGGAACTTGACTGCCAGCTGCTAGAAGATTGTCACAGTATATGATTTTGTTAGGACAATTGACTGCCAACTACTGGAAATCTTTGAGTGACATACTAAGCTGCAGAACTACATGAATAATACACACAAAACTGTACAAATAACATACCACATAAGTATGTCTAGGAAGTGCCTGCCCCTTTGCACTGGCGGGATATCCTTGTACAGTGTGCATTCTGCACTGCTGTACTGAGCACCCTGGAGGCCACATCACCTCTTCCCCCTTCCTGAAAAACCAAATATTAACTGGACTTTTGTAAACTGAATAATGTTTCGAAGACTCTTTTGTCAACTCCTGCTCTGCAAATGGACGTCTCCATTTGCAAAAGACCCTTATGTAATAAACCAACCCTCCAACTGGCTTTTTGGCCTAAACTGAGATTTCCAATTTCCACGCATCAGGTTGGCCAGAATGGGGCCTGTCTCCTTGCTTGGGACTGCCCAAGGCGTGGGAAGCTGTGAGGGATGTTCTCGGTGGAGGTGAGGGGAGGGAAACCCCAGAGGAGGGCCTTAGAAATGATGAACCTGTGTCCTTTCTCCAGGAAGCTGTGAGCCAAGAGGGAAAAGCTGAGCTGGGACGGGGGAGAATCTGACGACCCCGAAGCGGAGACTCTCCCCACCTGCTCCCAGATGCCCTCCCCTCCCCCGGAGCCCTTCAGGGACCAGGGTGACCCCCACTCCCTGGGCGAGCCCCTCCTTGTCTAAACATCCTCTCAGCTTCCCTGCGGCCCTTCCAGCCCTTGCACCGCCCGGCTCTGGACGGACAGAGGGACGGACGTCAACAGGGACTGGACGGGCGCTGCAGAGCACCCAGCACAGCCTCCTCCCGGCCGGCAGGGCTCGGGGCCTTCCTCCCCACCCTGGCCTGAATGTGCTTCTTTGAGGCGGGCCAGACCAATCCCAGCGCCCAGGATCCAGTCCACGGAGCAAACTCTCGGGGGTCAGGCAGGACTGAGCCGTGGAGGCACTTCCTTTTTCCTGTGCTGTCAAGAGACCAAGTTCTTCTTTTGTTTTGTTTTGAGTTCTCACGGTGCACCAAAGGCTTGACTTGGAACCACCGGACTCCGCCTCAGCGGCTCGCTGGAATCAGCTGATGGCGTTGATGGGCACAAGGTCTTTAAAAGCACGCAGGGGTGATGGGCTGTGGCCGTGTGGAGCAGGCCACTCTGGACTTCCCTGAGTCCTGGTGTGGTTGCTGAGGAGACGGGAGGCCAGCCGTCCCTTCCCCTTCCATCCCCCAGCCCAGATGAGGGCAGCCTCTGTCTGCTGGTCACACCTCCGTGAAAATGCTCCCTGAGAAAGACACCTTCAGCCTCAGTTTTTCCAGCCTGTCCAGAAAAAAATTAGGTCCACCACTCCCCAGAATGTGAATAACCTCCAGCCCCAGCCGGGCCCAGAAAGGAAGCTTGGGCTGCCCAGAGGCCTCAGATGCATTTGCTTAACAAATCCTGGAACACAAAACCCGGAGGACTGGGTGGAAGACAGCCCTGATAGCGGGGAGCGGGGGTGGGAGTGGGCGGTGCCGCTCCGGGAGCCTGAGGAGGATGCAGGCAAATTTAAGGCCCGGGAGGGTGGGGGCCTATGGTGAGAAGGCCCGGGTGGAGGCTGCATTCAACAGGCCCAAGTCAAGGAGAATGCCTCCACACGAGCCCATTTAGAAGGTGCCGCGTGGAAGAGCCTAACTGGACCCTTGAGAGGCCCAGGAAGAATCAAGTCTCAGGTGTCCTTGAGCCCTCTGCCTCCTTGGATTCCGTGGTCCAGACCAGTCAAGGGAAGCGCCCTGGGGGTTGGGTGGTAGGAGGAGCCAGGTCCCTGGAGGGGCTCGCCTGCCTGCTGTGTCTGGCCTTCTCGCTAAGAGTGGCCTTGCTGTTTGCAGGAGGCTGTGTGCCCGGGGGGCCTCTGAGACTCAGGAACTAGCAAAGGAGGGTGTCAGTCTTGCACAACTCGGGAATGCTTGTGTCCTGATGTGCAAGGGAAAACTGAACATTATAATAACAGTTGTTTTAACTCACAGCCTGTATTTACAGCCCAGATGCTCTTATGTTACAAGTTATGCTCTAAGTATCAGTAAATCCCCTGGAATATTTTCCTTCACTTTGCTTAATTTCCCTTTTCCCCATTTTGAGGTAATCAAGAGAATTGTTCTTGCATTAGTCCCAGGGTTGCCAGATAAAGTACAGGACACCTTGTCAAATCTGAATTGCAGATAAACAACCAATAATTATTTAGTGTAAGTATGTCCCCAGCATTGCAATTATTTGTTGTCTATCTGAAATTCAAATTTAACTGGGCCACCCATATTTTTATCTGCTAAATTTTGCAACCCTAATTAGTTCCTGTCTCTTTTTTATGCCGTTTTTTTTTTTTTAAACCAACACTAATGGATTGTTTTTCGTTGTGTCAGTCACTGTGCTTTGAAATGGGAGGTCGCACTGGTGCCAAGGCCAGAACGCTCTCTGGTCGTCCTGCAACCCAGCTAACACCCCGAACTCAACCGGTTCCCGGCTGACCCCATTATCTCTGACTCACCCACTTAGCCCCTGACTTCTCAGTGTCCTGATGTCACTTGCCTGCCTTTGTGTGTGTGTGTGAGGAAGATTCTCCCTGAGCTAACATCCATTGCCAACTCCTTTTTTCTTTTTTCACTTGAGGATTAGCTGTGAGCTCACATCTGTGCCAATCCTCCTTTTTTTTTTTTCACTTGAGGAAGATTCGCCCTGAGCTAACATCTGTGTCAGTCTTCCCCTACTTTGTATATGGGATGCCTCCACAGCATGGCGAGTGGAGTAGGTCCACACTCGGGATCCAAAACCCGTGAACCCTGGGCCACCGAAGCAGAGCTCATGGAACTTCAACCACAAGGCCATGGGGCCAGCCCCCTGCTTGCCTGCCTTTTAAAAGCCTTTCAAAGCAACAGGGCCTCCCAGGCACCTCAGTGCTCTTGAAGGCCTCCGTGGTGTGAGTTGAGGGAGGCCCCCCCCTTGCACGCTGTCCCACCATCCTATATTCCCACTGGCACAAAATTCCCGTAACCAGTGAGGTACATGAGCAACCCAGGGGCAGGGACTGTGGCTTTGCATCTGTGTATGCCATAGACACAGTATCAGACCTAGCATATCGTAAGTGCTCGATAAATATTGGTTGAATAAATGAACTAATGGATTAGATAATGTCGGGGGGCCACAAAAGAAGAGGTTCTCAGAGCTGGGTCCTGGCCTGGTTCTGCCTGTAGCTGGCTGTGCGACCTTGAACGAGGCACCTCCCTACTCTGAGCCTCAGCTTCCTGGTCTGTGAGATGAGGATAATGCTGCCGCCCTCTCCTGCCCTCCTCAGAGCATTACCGGAGCCTTCCAGGGCTGGGGAGTAGAAGCATGGTTTGAAAAGAAGGCAAGCTGTGCACTCAAAAGTGTTGCCTTCCCCAGGGAGTCACTGGAGGGACTCATGTGTTGTCTGAGAGAGGGAAAGGAAGGCCTTAGATGCCTCTGAGTGGAGACCACAATTTCTGGACCAAAACCAGGCTCTGTGTTTTGTCCATTTTTATCCTGGTTCAGAGTGATGGAGTTTGGGCACCAGAGTTGAGGGACTAATAAGACAGATGATATAGAATCACGATTGGCCCAGATTTTCCTGGACATACAATTAACTGTCCCCTTGAAAATCACAGAGTTGTAGAACGTCAGGTCTAAGAGGGCAAGTGTCTTGTCTCCAAGGTCATCAGCCTGTGGGCAGCGGGACTAAAACCCAGGTCCCACGGTGCCCAGAGCAGGGCGTTTTTTTTACTGCCTCATCAAGTTGGCTCCCCAAGGAAGGCACACCTGGAGATCATCCGGAGAAGACCCCACACTCCTCCCGGCAGGAACAACGAGGCTGACCTCACAGCCTTGCAGACACCAGGCTGGCCTGGATGTGGCAGGTGGGCCCCCTTGTTGCTTCCGTTGTGAATAATCCAGGTCAGACCATTGTACTAGTCGGTTTCTTTATTTGCTTAAATAACACAGTACAAAAATGAGACAGACGCCAGCATCGGGAACTCATACCAAACACTCATACAGCTTAAAGAACATCATTCCAAATAAGAAAATACAAACAGAAGTTTCCTGACCCTCATTTCAAAACTGACTCTGATCCTTCACGTTTGGCACTGTGCTCCTGACCACCACCTAAAATAAATCCATAAATAGCTCACCTCTCCTCCACTTCTTAGAAGCAGCAATAACCCTAAATGGCTTTTTAAACATGCTGAGTTGCACTTCCTAAAACTTTGCTTCCGGTTTGAAGCCGATCCCATCCTTAGACGGGGCCTCTCTGCCCTTGGCTTCTCCCCTCCCAGTCCTGTCCTCCGGTGCCCGCCACAGGTTCAACACAGCAATACAATGTCCACCGGGGGTAACAAGATCGAGTTTGCCATCCAGGTTTTAACACCCTCTCCCCTATGGCCTTGTCTTCCAGGCAATGTTAAGGGCTATGTTCATAGCCCTGTCAGACGTGTATATAGACAGCAGGCACAGGGCAAATTGTCCACCTGAATCAAGTCATTGAAACTGTTCAGCTGTGCAGAAGGCAGAACTTCTAGCAACCCACATCTCACCTTTGTGCAAAATCAAAAAGGAGCCCCTTTCTCAAGACACTTTACTGCCATCAGTTGGAATACCGTCATCATAAATCTATAAATCCACAATGTCTAGGAAGGGAATAGAACTTCCTGAGGCATGGTGCTCTTGAGCAGTGCACGCTGGTGCAACCACCCATGGTGATCCAGCTTGAAGCCCTCCCCCAGTTCCTGAAAACTACCCAGATTGTAGCTCTAATAAGAATAACAACATACACAGATATGACACCTTGTAATTTTCAGAACTCTTCACATTCATTTTCTCATTGACTCTTGGCAAAACCCCATGAGGTCAAAGAGGTACCAGGTACCACCTTCATTTTGCTGGTCATAGAATTATAGGACAGAAGGAAGTATTGTGAGAGACCAGGGACACCCAATCCATAGGGCTTCCGCACCTGAGGCCTACAGAGTCCTGGAGGCATCTGCAGACCCACATGGGCATCAAACACTGTTGGTTGACTGAATGAATTCTGCATTGCACGCAGATGTACATTTGTTTAAATGCATGTGCATGCTGGTGAGAGATTCAACAAAAATTTATTTTTAAAACTAACATCTGAAAACACGTCAGCAGGCCTTCCATGTGATAGTGGGCACATTTTTAGCCCCTGGGCATCAAGAAAATACACAATGATAAAAAAATAAATAAGATAAAGGATTTAATAAATATTTTATTTTTGTGCATGTGAGGAAGATTGGCCCTGAGCTAACATCTGTGCCAGTCTTCCTCTAGTTTATATGGGACACCTGCCACAGCACAACTTGTTGAGCAGTGCTGGGTCTGTGCCTGGGATCCGAACCTGCGAACCCCAGACCACCGAAGCAGAGCGTGTGAACTTAACCACTACGTCCCAGGCTGGCCCCTAGTAAGTCTTTTAAATGAAAGTAAAAACCAGGAGACTCACCCAAGGGCACATAAGTCAGCACAAGGGTGGCCTGAGATTGCAAGAGCCTTGACTCCTGGACTAATAATGCCTTTTGAGGTAACTCTCTCATTTCCTCTCTAACCCTCAAATTAGAGACAGAATCAGTGGTTGTGCAATTCCGGTTGAGACTAAGGCCTCCCAGGGAATGCCTGGTAGAATTGCCGGGATCTCAGGAGTTCTCCCCTTTATTCATTCATTCATTCATTCATTCATTCAGTGAGGACTTAAAGATTGCCTCCAGCTCAGAGGGGTGGGTGTATTTAGCCCCAGAGTAAAAGCAATCACTTCCTCTCCTTGGAGAGATTTCAGCATGATAGAGCCAGAAGGGATCCGAGGGTGACTAATCCAGCCCAGGATCCAAGGTCTGGAGAGGACAGGAGGCATGTGTAGGTTCCAGCAGCAAGTCTAAGGCAGCTCAGTGAGCGGAGCCCTGGCCTCCTTACTCCCAGTCCAAGGCTTATTTCTCCCAGCACGGCCTCTGCCTCCAGCTTCACAGAAGAACGCTCTGTGGATTCTGTCTTAACAAGCCCAGCGCAGCCTGGGCACAGGATGGCTGTCCCCTCTTCTGTTGTGTCTGTGAAGCATGGATTAGGACATCATGAAGCATCTTCAGGGTCTCCTGGCTAAAGCCACCAATTGCTTGGCTAGTTCAACGGAACTTGGGTGCAAGCACAGCTTTCAATCTGGACTTTGGATCTCAGGACTTGCAATGTTCTGGGAGGAAAAAAAATACATAGGTTTTAGCCACAGCCCAATTCTTTGTGGATCCCATCCTGATAACAACAGACTTCTCATTCACCCGTCGACACACCACACTAGCTCCCACCTCTGGGTCTTCGCTCATACAGTACCTCCTGCCTACAGTTTTCTCCTCACCTTCTTCCCATCTACAGCCTCCCCATCCTCAGAATCGGTGCTTGCCACCTCCTGAAGGCTCCCAGAACCAACTTGCTTCATTGACCTCCGTTACCACTAATTTGGCATTTAACTGACATTTAATTTTGTCATCAGTAAACATTCTGTCTTTTCCACTAGCAGAAGCTCCCCCAGGCCCTCATAGCACCTTGCACAGTTAGGCACACAGCAGGCTCTCAATATTTCTTGGTTGAATGGATGAGTGAAGTGAATGAATGAATGGTTAGTAAAATCAGAAGATGGAGTTAGGGCTACTGAGCATGTCAGAACTGTTTCTATAATATCCTTCGTAAAGAACTCAGGTCACTCCATAAGCTATTACCTAGCCCATCCTAGAGGGCAAACTATCTGTAACATCCCCATTCTCCGGGAGAAGACAGTGAGGCTGAGAAAAGGGAGGTCTAAGGTCACGAGGAGCTCCCAGCAGGGACACGAGCCAACATAGCACAGCATAGCACACTCGAATGACAAGGTACAAGCATCATAAAATAAGACCAGCTTTCTCAAGAAACTCATCACGTGGCTTCTGAAAGTAATTCCGGGACAAGGAGACAGAATGTTTGTGATGGTGACATCATCGCAGTAAAGGTCTGGTTTCCGGGGGACCATCTAGATGTAGAAGCTCTGATCCTGTTTGTCCAACACCAACAGACAGAAATTTCATTCTTTAAAGTCACACCTTCGTTCAGTAGCATCTATGCTATAGATCTGGGTCAAACGTCTGTAAGCAGGTTATCTTAAGGGAATTTGAAAAGGGTGGAGAAAATTACTTTTCAGCGTCCACCAGAAAACATGAAAACTCAGATCTTTAAAAAAATCAGTGATGAGTATTCTCTCTAAAGGAAACAACGCAGAGCCTTCGGTGCGGTGGGGGTTACTAGGGAAAGCCTGCAGCAATCAGAAGAGTGACGGGGACACCAGGGGAGGCCCTACCCTTAGTCAATCTACCAAGGAAAGGTGGGGAAGGATGCCTGCTGGGAGCCTTCAACCAAACAGCCCACACGTCCTTCTCATCTACCTCCACCATCCTTTATTTGATGTGGAATCTTCCTCTCCTTTGCTATTCAAACTCTATGACAGTCTAGAATTGGGAAGCCAAGCAGCAGAACCCAAGAAATAAGAAGGAGGCAAGCTAGGATAGTGGCCAGTCCATGTTCCACACTGCTATCAACAGTATGAAAATGCACATACAGCTAGAGACCAGAGCCAAACGAAGAAGATGCTGATTAGTGAGTAGAGCCCATGAGGGTTTTGGAAAAGAAAAGGTCCCTGTGGTGTAGAATCATCTCAGAAGGCCTCAGCAAGGAGGTGGTGTCTGAGCTGGATCCCAACTCCTGAACTAAGGAGGGGAGGGGAGAGGACAGGAAGGAGGTCCTGTCATGCCCACAAGCCTGTTGTCACTTGTGCCATACTGCCCTTTCTCACCTGCGGGGCCTCCCCATGTGGGAAGTGGGTGTAACTGTGGCAGCTGAAGTGTAGGCCCCTGAGGCTGAGGACGGTGTGGCTGTTGTTGCCAGCAAATGTGTTAGCCAAGCCAAAGGCAAACTGGTAGGATCCCTCGGCCAGGTTCCTGTGGGGCGCAGTGGACTGGGCCTCCCGGCTGCCCAGGGCAGCCGCCAGCTTTCTAAGGGAGGAGTCTGAGAGCTTGCAAGAATACCTCTTCAAGCTGGGGTGTCGCCCGATCTGGAAGCAGAAACGAAGGTGGGTCATCAGTGTTGCTGGCAGCTAGTCCCCTCTCCCGAGCTGAGCCTCCCCCAACTGCACACAGCCAGGCTGGGCACCTCAGTGGCCCGGGGATGGGTGATGAGCTCCCCCTGTTCCATTCCTCCACCCCCTCCCCACCTCTCAGAATCTGTTCTGCAAGGTCCAGCTCCGTGCAGCAGGACAAAGAGGAAAAAAAAGTGCAGGTCTTTGGACTCAGATAGGTGATGCTTCAATTGCATTGAGTAGCTGTGTGACCTCTCTGAGCCTTTGTTTGGTCGTGTGTCAAGTGGGAATAATAATATCCCTTCCCTCCCCCATTGTTGTTGCGGGGAGGGGGATTAAGTGAGGTACTTTATGTAAAATGTTTCCTGCAGAGTAGATGTTGGATGAATTTTGGTTCCTGACCTATACACCTCCTCTTCATACCTAAATGTTTTAGGTCAGCTTTCCCCCAGAGGCAGACCCAGCGACAAGGACTCAGGTGCAGCTCGAGTATGTGGTAAGCGATCCTGGGAACCAGTGATGGGGGAATGGAGACCGGGACAAAGATGGAAGGCAGCCCTGCAGGCAGGCAGCTGGAACCTAATCCCTTCACGGGCAGAACACACTCCTCGGAGTTATGCCCCCAAGGGTGAGGGAGCTGGGGTGTGTGTATACCAGCTCCCATCAGGCAGTGGCTGAGGGCAGCACCCGGGGAGGTGGACAGTGTTCATGCTGGCCTGCCATGTGGACTCAGGCAAAAGGATGCCGGCGATGGGAGTTGGGCTGGCGTGCACGCTGGCGGTAAGGGAGGCACCAACAGTGTCCCCAACACTGATTACTCATCCATGACTGTGCTCCCACTGACACCTCCTCACATGTGGTCTGCGTCTGTCTCTCCAAGCAGACTGTGAGGTTTTCAAGGGCAGGGGACCTTCCGTTATAGGCTATCTAGCAGGAGAGGAAAATCTAAAAGCTCGAAAGAATTGGAGCCCACATAAATGCTGAAGCATGTGCTGAGACAGGGAGAATAGAGAGTTGGCAGAGGACGAGATGAGCAGGACCGGGAGGCCGGACCAGGGGAAGGAGGTTTCCAGGGAGGTGGGCCATGCAAGGCGGATTCGCACTAGGGGAGCCACATGAGCTTTATATTGTTTTAAACTAACATTTATCTCATCTGCTACATGTCTGGCATTTTCCATACAGGCACTAAACTTTGTCAAGTAGATATTAATCCCCCATTTCACAAAAGAGGAAACCGAGACTCAGAGAGGTTGAAGGACACGCCCAAGGTTGTCTAGATGCAAAGATGGGGATTGAACTCCGGTATCAGTCATGGGTTGATGAGGCCCCCCCAGGGTTGACCTTGGGGAGACCAAGCAGTCCTCACCTCCTCCCCCAACTGGCCACCAGCTTCCTGGAGAAGGGCCACCAGCTTCTGGACGATCAGCTCCTCTAAGGAAAATAAAGAAGGATTGAGGGACTGTTGACAAGTTCTGCAACAACACATCCATTGATGACAGATGTATTTTGTCTCTAAAACACAGCACACAGATTGGTTATGAAGGGCAAAGAAAAATCTTCCCCTAAACCAGGGCTGGAGCATGAGAGCTGCATTGGGGTTTGCTTTATGGAAAGAAAGGGGCTTTGGCCTGCTGAGCCTCACCTGCTAAACCTTACCACAGCTCCGTTTGACGGATGGGGGAACTGAGACCTCCCAATGTCCCTTATCCAGAGTTCAGAGGAGTGTGGTCAGGGATGGGAGCTTGGACCAGGAGCAGCTAATCAGGACGCAGGGAGGGGAAACACCGTGGCTGCTGATGCTGGGGGAATGTGCCCATCGACCTGGGCTATAAACAGCCATGCGCAAGTGGCCGTTCATACCAAAAGTCAATTGCAAATATTCAGGAAATTCGTGGACCCATTGTTGTAAACTGTTGGCAGCTTGAAATTGGCCATGGTGAGAATATTTATACCACAGAAATCTGCAAATACTACAAATCAGGGCTCCCCCACCCCACACCAGCCTGTTTGCCAGTGCACATCTGGGGTTCTGAGACCCAGAGCAAGCTAAGGATTTTGCATGAAACATTCAAGCAAACGGATGGGGAGGGGGTGGCGTGAAGTCACATCCCACAGGATAGACAGGTGTCTCCACCTGAAGAAGGCTCTCGCTGCAACCCTGCCCCCCCCCCCCCCCCAGCCCCTGCTGAAAGGCCAGTCCCGTCTCCTTGCTGTCCCTCTAGAACCTCCTGGAATATTTGTCAGCTGCCCTCCCAGTTCCCTGCTGGGACTCAGCCTGTGAAATCCCTGCCAAAGGGCAGCCCCAGGCAGCCATTGTCGCAGGTGAGAGCAGGGTGGTACTAACTAGATTCAGACGCTCCATCCGGCTGCGGTCCCCCTTCTGGCTTGTGGCTTCTGGCCTGGGAGGGTGCTTCTGAGGACCGAGCTGGACCCCCTTCTGCAGGCGAGGACTCCTGGAACTCGAGGTCCTCCAAATCTGAGGGCAAAAAGGAGTTGGCCTGGGTGTGTTTTGCACCTGTCTTGAATCCGCAAGCACATCGCTGAATCCAGGTTCTGATGAGAAGCTGTTCAAAGGCACTGGCACCAGAGGGGTCCTGGCTTCCCAGGCTCCTGGGTAAACCCCCAGCGCCCCTGGAGCCACCTCAGAGGAGTTCACAGTGCTCTTTGCCCCCTCCAGAAATCTCATTCTTCTTTCTTCACCAACCCTCTCTGCCTCCTCACAGTCTGGGAGGAAAACAAGCAGGCCTGCCAACAGGTCCCACTGAGTGGACCCACTTCCCGTTTAACTCTGCGAGGCTTTGCCGAGTCACTTAGCCTGTCTGAACCTCACTTTCTCCATCTGTCAAATGGGAGTATGAGACTGACCTCCCAGGGTTGCGAGCAGGTTCAATGAGATAACATGTAGTAGGCACTCCGTAAATGTCAGGGGAATCATTGCACACCCGTGGTCCCCACACTTCGGAGGAGTGAAAAAGCAGAGGTCCAGGCCATACCCTCCTTCATCAAACCTGGGTGTCTGTTTTTCTATCAGCTTTCCAGGCGATTCTGAGGCACTTATCTGATGAACAGATGCACCGCTCTCGTACTGCCTTTGTTTTCAAGTGTTTATGTGTGCATGTATGGGGGTGAGGGCGTGTACTGTGAGTGGTGGCTCCTGCTCACAACCAGCCCCTCTGTCCTCTCCACAGCGCCCCGCCCCCCCCCCCCAACATCTCCCGTCTCTGCTCAGAGCAGAAAGCAAAAGTCAAGACTGAACTCGACACCGCACAGCTGGCCCTGGAGGAATCCTCGGGGCCAGAGGCAGCCTCTGTTACCATGGCAACACCAGGCCTGCTCACCGAGGCTGCTGGAGCTGGAGGGCCGTTGGCCCCCAACACACAGGGGCAGAAAGCTGGGCCTCTTGGGCGGCCGGGACTCCGGGCTGGCAGCATGTGCAGCCCCTGCTCTCTTGGGCTCCTTGAAGCCATATTTCTTCTGAGAAAAGGCTCTTCTGAAGTTGGACTTTTTCTCTTGGGATTTCTTTCTGCAGGCTAGGCCCAGGTTTTCTACAGCCACCTCTGGCTGCTGGACTTGAAGTTGCTGTGGGGGAGATGAGCGAAACTGAGTCAGGGCCCCCGACTTTGAGGAGAAGGCAAGTGAGCTGGGGAAAGAGACCAACATCCTCTGAAACAAACGGAGGCCCCCCTGTGGGCTGAGGGTGCGGCCCAGGGAGAAGAGCAATGGATGCTCTGAGCCGAGGAGACAAGTGCAGCCCACAGGGGTCAGGGCAGGCTTCCGGGAAGATGCAGAATTGGGGGAGGGGAAGGGAAATTACTGTGCCAGGCAGGGGTGGGGTGTCCAAAGTGAGGGTCAGGGGCCACATGGGGCACATCCTCCTCACCTTCTCTCCCTCCTGCTCCTCCGGGTCTTGGAGTAGGGCAGTGATCTTCTGGGTGAATTCTCCTGAAAAAGATCAAAGGGGCCGCTTACACTTTCGTGCTGAGAAAAGCTTTTCCACAGTCAGGTTTCATTTCCTAAGGCCCGGTGTCTCCCTGGGTCATTCTGACAGGCGCTAAGGAGGTTGCATTTGCGGTTGTCCCCGTACATGGGACCCCCATGGACCCGCAGAGGAGGCCTGAGGGCAGAGCTGGTTTCATGGGAACATAGTCACTCATCCTCTCACCAGCTTAGATGGGCCCTGCTAGGCAGGAGGAGCACAGACAGGCCCCTGCCTCCAGGAGAAGGTGTCTCAAGGCCACCTGGAAAGGCCTGGTCCCCACAAGTCCCCAAACCTTCCTTCTCCTCTAGGTACAGCAAGAGCCCTTCTAATTCCCTTCAAGGCACGTTTTCTGTGAAAAGCGAACCAGGCAGCATGGACGTGGAGGAAGCAGACTTTTAAAAGCATCTTCGCACACAGAACTGAGAGTGATTCCGTGATCCTAGATTTGGCTCTGCCGGTGACGAAATAATAACAATAGCGACGGCAGCGACCATTTCTGGAGCTTCTCCCCTACGGCCCCTGCCCCCTTCTCCTGAGGCTCTCTTCTCAAGCTGGGCTGCCTAACAACAGTAATAATAACCATCACTGGCAGCTAACATTTATCAGCTGCGAATGGGCACTGCTCTAAATGCTCTAGGAAGTAGGGACTATTATTATTCTCCCCATTTTGCAAATGAAGAAACTGAGACCAGAGATGAAGTACTGTGTCCAAGCTCACACAGCTGGGAGAGGTCGGAGCCCAGGCCCTAAAGTCACACCCTCTCTGAGCCCTTGCCACGGGCCAATGTTGCCCTCCATTTCCCTACGCTGGCCCCACCATGGAGGGCGCCACCACTATGGTGGTTTTACAGCCAAGGCTCAGACAGGTGAAGGAACACAGGCCAGCTCGGAGCCTGTGCTCTGGGGCCCTAGCTGCCCCCCACAACCGGCTGCATTCAGAGGCACGTCAGGACAGGCCACTGCCAATCTTTGGTTCAGTTTCTCTTCTGCAGGTGGAGGGGTCAGGCCAGACAGGTTCCAAGGGGCCTCAGGGGAAGGGGGGGTACTGACGGGATTCTGTGTCTCCGTCCACCTGCGAGTCCCCTTCCGGTCTCCAGCTTCCTGCGGGCATGGAAAGCTCGAAGGGACTTGGACCGCCGACATCTGTAGACAAGGCCTCTTGAACTTCAGGTTCTTCCATGCCTGAGAAGCAAGATGAAATGGGGGGTGTGTTTCATCAGGCCAAGGGTGTTACCTCCTGCACAGAAGTTAGCAGAGCCTCTAAAGTGCCTTCGAGGCTAGAGTGCGCCAAGGCCTGGTGGGGTGGAGGGGAGCTGGAGGGGGGGGCGGGCGGGGCTGGGGCTCGGGCTTACTGGCCCAGACCAAGCTCTGTTATCCCTTTGCACTTCCACTCAACTGGCTTTCCTAGGTTTTGCTCCCCACACCTCCCTCCCCTGGCAACCTCGTCCCTCTACCATCTTGGCTTGATCCTCGAGTGGGAGAGTGGATGCCTGATCCCACGGTACGAATTAACACATCACGTCCAGAATCCCGCTGCGTGAAAACATTTCCCCTTGTGGCCTGAAAGTCCACCACTCGTTCTTGCCCCCTCCTTTTTAAAATGTAAGTTCCCCTGGCCAGGTGGGCCTGCCAGGTTCTTCCTCCCGGACAGCCAGAATGACCCTTTCTCCCTCTAGCTCTGTCTGGCTCCCTCATTGACGAGCCATGTGACCTTGAACACACTGTTTCACCTCCCTGAGCCTCAGTTCCCTCATCTGTGAAATGGGGATAATAATACCATAAAATGGCTGTGGGGACTGATGGAGATATAGATAGGCACCCGGGAAGTGTCTTATTTTACAGGCGAGGAGAATGAGGCGCAGAGATGGGGAAGGACATAGAAAGTACAGCTCACCACCCACGTCTCCTGCCTCCCAGGCTCCAGTTCCTTCCTGCATTTGCTACCCCCCGCCAGGGCATGGAAGCTGAGGCTGCGGTGGGGGAATTCCCAAACACAATTTCCATCGGGGGCTTAGCTGGGTTGCCTCAACCTTAGTGAGCTGTCGAGTGTGGAGGTGACCTGCTGGCAGCCCATCCCGCCTCCCCACAGCCCTCCCCACAGCGCTCAGGGTAGAGCAAAAGTCAGAACAGGGAAGGCAGCTCTTAAAATGGCCAATTCCAGCCCTGGGGAAGGTTCCGGAGCTGGAGGCAGCCACAGTGTTGCTATGGTAACGGCAGTCTGCTCACCAAAGCTGCCGGAGGTGGAGGGCCGTTGGCCCCCAACACACAGGGGCAGAAAGTTGGGCCTCCTGGGCATCCGGGACTCTGCACTGAAAAAGTCTGCAGCCCCGGCTCTCTTGGCCTCCTCGGAGCCGTGCTTCTTAAGAGAAAAGGCTCTCTTGAGACCAGACTTCTTCCTTTGAGATTTCCTCCTGAGGGCCGGTGATGGATTTTGTGGAGCCGCCTCTAGCTTAGGGCCTTGAAGTTGCTGTGTGGGAGATGAGAGAAACTGAGTCAGGCCCCGATCTTGAGGAGAGGGGACAGCTCCCCAAGAAGCAAGTGAAGAGCGACCAAGTAGTTCAGAGGGGCCCAGACAGGAGAGGCGACAGAGCCTAGAGCAGGGGAGCCCTGAGGCCCAGGAGGACAGGTGGGCTTGAGCAAGGAGGGGGAGAAGGCGGCGAGCCCCTGGGGGTCTACGCAGACGGTTTGCTCCTCACCTCTTCTTCCCACTGGTCTCCCACTTTCTTGAGAAATTCCACTATCATCTGGATGCAAGCATCCTCTGGAAGAAAGCAAATGCCCCCAGTTAATCCTTCTAGATGCACAGAGAACTCTTTCTAGTCACTGTCTTGGGCTTCTGAGACCAACGTGGGCCTTCTGTATTGAGTAAGGGTCCGCTTAAAACAGCTCCTTAGGCCAAGGAGGGGGGGAAAGCACCACATCCTGGGGCTGGTCCTTTTGAGAGAGGATTAGAAAGGTCCACAGGGAAGGGTACTGGGCCGAAGCATGAAATTTTATGCAGGAAATTTCAGGTCAGCCCTTCATGCATTCCACTTGGGCCCCACTGTTCTTTTGAACTTTACACATCGACGAATATCTGCTTTGGGTCAGGCAAGCTGTGTGATCTTGGGTAAGTCTCTTAACCTCTCCGGGCCCTCTTCTCTTCCCCTGTGAAATGCAGATCATAATCCCTGTCTTGCTTCCCTCTGAAGCTGACAGGCCGTCGAATGAGGGACTGTGCCTGGAAATACTTTGCAAATCTCATGCTGATCGTGCAACCTGGTTAATTCCAGTGGGGGAAATGGCGGAGACCTGGCCTAAGGTGGAAGACGGAGGGACCCCAACAGGCAGGACATAGCCAGCCTGCCGCGATGGCGCCTCCACCACATATCAAATCTTTACAGAGAAGCCACGAACAACAGAAATGGTTTTCTTCGACACCCCGGTCAACCTATCCAAAGACGATGAGCCTAGAGTGGCCTCTGCTGGTTGCCCGCTGATCAGTTTAGGAGCAAACACACTTGCTTCCCTGTTCCCAAGCTGTCTGCAGGGGTTTTTTCACCCCTCACTCCCCTCCGTCACTTCTCTCTCATTTAAAAATCCTGTTTCGCTTCTATTCCTTGAGAACAGAATTAGCATGTAAAATAAACACCCTGCAGAATAACCAGTTAAATGCCTTTTAGCTATTCCTTGACAGACACATAGCTCCTCCATTTTGTATCTTTTATAATATGCCCATTCTTTATTGGAATTAGATTAATAGAACATTACCCATTTTATTAGGAGCAATAACAGTATGGTGGTTGTGTATGAGACTGTCTTTATTTCTTGGGGATGCATGCTTAAGTATTTAGGGATGAAGCGTCATTTTACTTAAAAATGGTTCAGTAACAAAATTATACGCACATACACAAAGCAAATATGGCCAACTGTTAATAATTGTGAGTATATGAGTATGCCTTGAACTATTCTTTGCACTCTTCTATATATTTAAAAATATAAATATAAATTCCATATTCCTCTATTCTATAAATTTAAAAAGACTTCTAAAAAGTCCCATTCTCATGAACACATAAGGCAGGAGCATTTGCCAGCAGCCTTTCTGATTCCTGAGAATCCCTTCAATAAAACTCCAAAATAAGGAAATGTGACGAGAATCAGCAGAAGGAGCGAGATCAGTACACGCATTTTGAGAGCGACCACGCAAGGTCTTAGCGGTCAAGCAGAGCCATCTGCCTCATTGTAACAGCCACCCCAGCTGCAGGCAACAAGGACACTAAGTAGATTCTGACTCACGGTCAGGCTGTGCGAGATCCTCTTCCCGCTGGCGACCTGCGTCCTGGGAAGAAACCTCGGAGACTCCAGCACCCTCGCCTTCGATGCACAAGGACCAGTGGAGATCAGATTCCACCCCACCTGGAACAAAGATGAAAGCAAATGTGTGTGGGTGTGTGGGTGTCAGTGCCATTCTTCTGACCTTGTTAATCGACACAATAAAACAGCGCCTGAGCCACAGCAGGACTGGCACTGCTGCAGCCAGCTCTAGCCTCAACCAGAGCATCAGAGACCCGCCAAGATTTCAGTTTGAAGAGGCTGCCTCAACCCAGACATCCTTCTCCCAACCCCCAAAATATCCTGGATCTTCCTTGGGTCTCTTCTCCCCATTAAAAACATGCTGAGTTTTGAGTGCTACAGGGCAAAGCTCCATCCTTTTCCAGGTGCCTGTGGGGCACCCAACTCCAGGACTCTAGAGTCAGAATAGGAAGGCACCTTGGGGACCAGCTCCCTCATTTTGCAAATGAGGAATCAAAGGTTCCAGAGAGAGGAAGCAACTTGCTCAAGGTCACACAGCAAGTTTATTCCTGACAGAGCCAATTCTAGAACGAAGATCTAGAACCAAGACCCCAGCCACGGGCTCTTTTTACTTCCCAGCATCCACCCCCAGGCCTCACATATGGACTAGTCGGGGGGTAGGGCTTCCCTCCTCTCCTCCCTCCCTGCCTTCCCATTTCTCCCTGGTCCATCGTCCTGGAAATAGAGTACTTAACAATAACAGCTGTCCTTTATGGAGCGCTTTCCATGTGCCTGCTCCGGGCCACGGCCACCCCATGAGACGGCAACTGTTATTATCTCCATGTTATCCATGAAAAAAAATGAGGCTCAGAGAGGAAAGTCACCAGCCCCAGGTCACACAGCTAGTGCATGGGCGGTTTGACCTCAAGCTCTCAGCCACTGTGCCATTCTGCCTCAAAGGAATTTCCCAGTGGTGTTGTCCCTGACAGTCCCCTCTGTTGAGAGGTCTCAAGAGCCAGCTTATAGCACCCTAGCCCTTGGGAGTGGAGTGGTGGGATTACTATAGAAACGGGCACGGTCTGCTCACCCCCACGAGCTGAGCCCAGGTCAGCCTCCTCGGGCCACACGGCAGCAGCCATCGCGGGCAGTCCTGCCTCCCAGCCTCCCACCTCCTGCTCTGGGGGGCCCCTGGCTTCCTCGGCAGAGCGTTTCTTGTGACCGTGTTTCTTGCGGCTGGCCTTCCTGTCGTGGGCTTTCTTCCTGGAAGCCAGCTCCCCGGGTGCTTCAGGGGTTTCCGCGGGCTGCGGGGGGCCATCCTTCCCCTTCGCCCTCCTGCTGGCCTTTTCTTTGGGCTCCTCGAGGCCTGTCCTCAGGAAGATGTTCAGCAGGGTCTTCAGCCACCCCTGCGGGGCCCACCTCTGGGCCTTGTCCTTCTTGGAGTCCTGCGGAGACCTCTGCTCTCTGGGGAGGAACTCCTTGCTCTCCTCCGGGCTGAGGGCTGTAGCTGTGGCGCCCTGAGCCTCCGCAGCCGGGGCTGGGCTCTCGGGGCGTCTGGCCCCTTCGCTGGCCGTCCGGCGAAGTGCCCTCTTGGAGGGGGTGGCAGGCAGGGAGAGGCACCGGCAGTCCCACGTGTCCGAGTCCCTCCTGGGGTCCCGTGTCCTGTCCAGAGACCCTGCTCTCCTCCTCGGGCCCTGCGGAGGCTCCATCGTGCTGCAAGCAAAACAAACAGCTCCCTTAGGACAGGCCACCAGGCGCCGCCCGGGCGGGCCCCCCCCCCCACCACCCGTCCACCCTGTCCGTCAGGGCGAGCGAAAGCCACTCAGCGCTGCCGTCTCCCTTCAAGTCCTCGACAACCTGGGAGGGGGTGTCCCTTGTCCCCATTTTCCAGAGGAAGAAACGGAACTGCGGGAGGTCACACCCCCAGATCCACAGCCGGGCCGCGGCTCCCCGGGGCCTCCAGCCCCGCCAACACCTTGACTTCAGTCCCCGAGCCTGACTGCAGGGACCCTGGACCTCCAGAACTGCAGTAACGAAGTCGGGCTGTTCCCAGGCCACTGAGCTTGTGCCTTTGTTACAGAAGCGACAGGAAACGAATGCAGCCGGAGCAGGAGGCCCAGTCCTGCCCCTCGGGACTTCAGGTAGCTTTTCTGGCCCAGTGTCCCCCTCTGAGACAGGCCGAACACCTGCCTGCCCATCTCCCAGGCTCTTAAGAAGGTGACAGCTCAGTCAAGGGCACTCTCTTTCTCCAGTTGCTCAGGCCAGAACCGTGAAGTGGTCCCGACTCCCCTCTTTCTCTCACTCCTCGTCTGGTCCTCAGCAAAGCTGGCTGCCTCACGTCCCTGTCTCGAGCTCGCCAGGCCTCCCGCCTCCTCCACTGCCGCCTGGTCCAGGCCTGTCCCTGCTCACCTGCACCGTTGCGGGAGCTCCCAGCTGCTCTCCCTGCTCCACCCTTGTCCTCCTTCCTGTGATTTCTCCCCTCAGCAGCCACAGGGCCTCTACAACACGAGGTAGAGCATGGCGCTCTCCTGCCTCCACGGCTCCCTTTTCACTCAGAGTCAAAGTCAAAGTCCTTACGATGGCCGGCAAGGCCCCACGCGACCTGGCTCCATTACCTGTCCCGTCACCTCTCACTCACTCACTCCACTCCATTCACACAGCCCTGCTTGCTGTCCCTCAGGCCCACTCAGCCTCAGGGCCTTCACGCCAGCTGTTCCCTCTTTCTAGAACATTCTTCCCCTAGACAGCCTTATGGTGTGTTCCCTTACTTGCCTCAGGGCTCTGCTCAACTGTCACCTTCCCATAGAGGCCCTCCCTATGCACCCACATCAGCACCCCCTCCTCTCTTAACTTACCACACCATGTTTGTTCATTGTCTGAGTCTCTCTCCCTCCCCTTTGCCTGTCTTGCTAGTTCTCGAATCCTGAGTGCCCAGAACAATGGCGGCACATCACTGACATCAGTTCTTATGAAACAAATGAATAGTGTATTACACACACAGTCAATGGTCCAATACAGAAGGTGTCTCTGGACGTATAGTTAACATACAATAAACGTATCTGGACCAGTCCCATCTTAGAGCAGCAGGGACCCTTCCGGTCTGCATCCAGGATGAAGCAGCTGCCCATGGAAATGACAGATGAACTTCCCCCCCCCGCCAAGTCCTGGGCAGCGTTTGAAGTGGGCTGCAGTGTGGGCAGGTCATCTGTGTGCCTTTAATCTGAAATTCTTGGGGCTTTCCAACTTTTCCAAAGTCGTTCAGAAACCCTTTGCCCTTTGGTGGAAGTTAAAATAAAAATAAACCATGGTTTTGAATCCCAAACCTGAGCTCCCAGAGATTCCTGTGGAGTTCAGATTTGTGGATTGCCTACTCTAATCTGTAATTACAGACTCACCAGGCATTTACTAAGTATTAAGGAATGCGTTATGTATTTATGTATGAATTATGCATGTATTATGTATTTACATCACATCTCCTGCATTTACCAACTGATTCTTTTACTTTAAAATGAACTGTATTACTATGTCCAGCTTAGAGGCAAAAATAAGAATCTACAGTTGTGATTTCAGATGTGGAGGATCCTTGTGAATGTGAGGAAGATACATAAAGAGAGAGAAGAAAGGGCCTGGGGAAACATGGAGAGATTTGAAGGTGACAGTGACATTCAGGATGCCTTCCCTCTTTCAAGCACGGTTCTAGGAAGAAAGGAGAGAGGTCATCGGCTGACACCGACACATGGACAATCTTGCGGGAAAGCACAAAACGGGCCGGGGAGGAGGCAGGCAATTCGGAAAGCTTTATAGATTGTTTAATGTTCCTTAAAAGGGACATCTGGGTTACACGCGAACTTCTAGCAACACTCGTCTGTGCCTTACATGGGAATCAGTCGATGTTCTCGAAAGCCTCAGAGGCTGCTTGCGTTTGTGCTTCTGAAATACAGTGTGGGGTGGGATAAAGAGAAGAAATCATAGGAGAAAATGTTTTTCTTTCTTCTCATTTATTTCTTTTAACAAACATTTAGTAAGCATTCACTGTGCACCAGGAATTATGCTCGGTGCTAGGGAATTAACAATGAACAAGATGCAGGGTGTGCCCTCAAAGAGAATGCGCTGGTCTTCCAATGGGCAGGAGTGGGGACGTGAGTCAGCGGTGGTGACAGTAATGCTCTACTCCCCTGACATCTGCTCTCTCTTCAGTAGCACAGTCTTAAGAGAAGACAAATTTAGGTGGGAGGTCTATTTGATGTTAAGCTCCAAGTCAGCTGAGCCAGAAATATTTACTGAATGGTGTCAGAGTTCCTTGCTTTTTCCGTATGTTCCTGTGGGCAGGGCAAAGTGGATGGGGTTGGAAGAGAAGCTGTTCAAATAACAAAACCGCCAAACCAGCCGAACACACAGGACACCCTTGTTCGGCTCAGCCCCTCGTCTTCTTATGCTAACTTGGCTCAAGGGGGCCCATCGCACAGAGAGCCGGAGCATCCTTCCCCAGCTAATGGGAAGAGAGGCGCAGTAATCTTATACAAACCCGTCATTGCTATGGAAACGGTTTTCGCCACTGCCGATGGTTGCAGCGTCCTCCTACCGCATTCAAAGGACACTCTGTTACTTCTAATCAGAGCATCAGTATAATTCTGCCAGGCAATATTTTTCCATCTTGATGTTTTTTCAAGAAAACTGCCTTGATTTGGGCACTGCCTCCCTGGAGCAACAGTGCCTTGAGCCCAGAGGGTAGTGAGGGAGGCTAAGAAAAAGAGCCAAATGCAGCAGCTGCTCCAGCCCCAGCGAGGGAGAGGCGGGACGAGCAACATGTGGCCTCAGCCATCCAAGAGGTTTCCCCCGTGAAGAGAGATTCCAGGACCTGCCGAGCCCTCCTAATCCCAAACCCAGTGACCTCTTCCTGTTCCTCATCGTCTCTCGAGATGCTGCAGCCTCTAATACCATGCCCACTTCCTTCTTCTGGAAACTCTCTCCTCTCTGGGCAACTGTGACCCAGCTTGGCCTGGCTCTCCTCCTACCTCTGACCACTCCTCCTCTGTAATGTCTCGAAGATTCTGTCTTCCAATGCTAGGCCCCGGGGTTGAGAGAGTGTGGCTGGCCAAGGAGGGCAAACCCAGCCGCCCCCAGGGAGTCACCCTGGAAGGTCCTCTCTGAGGCGGATGTGTTCTCAGACTTCTAAAGTCTCTACACTCTAGGAAGATTGAGTTTTAATATTATCCCCCGACACACACACGTGCACACTAAATTCTACGTGTGCTGAAATTAAATCCTTCCAGATTTTCTGGTTGCAAAGTTTTGCTTATTCAGAATTCATCAAAACAAGACTTTCTTTTTCCTCTCTTGTTTATCTTATTCTGGGCCCCTACTTTGCCTGGGGGTTCACCCACGTTCCACCTGACCCACAGGGAGTCCCACGCTGTCCAGGACCTGCTTGCTTCCAGACCTGTCACCCTGGGACAGCAGCTGACTTTCACTGGATAGAAGCCTGGCTGCCCTCATAAACTTCTTTATTGCCTTGGCAGAAGGTGGATTTCAGAGCAAAGTCCGAGTCTGCTCGGAAATACCCTAGTGATCGGCAGCTCACAGAACCTCTGGTAAGAAGTGACATTCCCTGGTGACATGCTTAAAAACACCAACAAGGTGCCAGGGGAAGCGCACAGAGCTGACCTTGAGTTACCGTGGAGCAGGAAGTTTGCCAGTTTTTCCCAAGCATGCTGCTGTTTTTAGTTTATTTTCTAAAGTGTACACTGACCTCATCTATATACTTATTCTCTGATTTCTTCCCCCGGCCGTATTACTCTGTAACCTCTCTGGCGCCATTTCACAGAGACACCTTGCCACTCCCTTCTCCACGCCTGTGGTTCACACAATCAATATTTAACAAAAAGCTGGTCACTCCAAGGAGGAGTGTGTGTGGCACGCATGTGTGGACCCAGAGTCAACCTACAGACACTCATTGCTGTAAACTGAATGTTTGTGTCTCCCCCCACCCCAAATTCATGTGTTGAAACCTAACGCCCAGCGTGATGCTATTAGGAGATGGGGCCTTCGGGAGGTCATGAGAGCAGAGCCCTCATGAATGAGATTAGTGCCCTTACAAAAGGGGCCCCAGGGAGCTCCCTCACCCCTTCCACCTTATGAGGACACAGAGAGAAGACCTGGTCTACGAACCAGGAAGCCCTCACCAGACACCAACTCTGCCAGCGCCTCAGTCCCAGACTTCCAGCCTCCACAAGAGTGAGAAACAACATTCTGTTGTTTATAAGCCACCAGTCTGCGGGAGTGTGTTATAGCAGCCCAAACGAGCTGACACTGATGTGTCACAGAAATACACACATGTACACTATAAACCTATGTGGACCCAGAACGTCCTGTATTTTTCCCACCCCAAGGGTAAGGGAATAATTATTTATCTATTTACCGTCTGCCTTCCCAGTCTAATTCCAAGCTCCAAAGAGAGGACCCGAGCCTGCGTGGTCCCCTTCCATGTCCACACTGCCTGGGAGGCTTTTGGTGTTTGTGGAATGAATAAACAATACACAGATACGTGCAAACACAGCTAGCTCACCCATAAACTGCCACATGGCGGTCAGAATGCCCTTCCATCCACATTATCTCACTTCATCTCGGCCACACCCTGTGAGTCAGAGGGGCCGGCAGTGGGGAATTGAGGCTCTGACGGTTAAGAGACTTGCCCACAGCCGAGAAGAGG